ATAGTTGTGTGTCTCTATTGACTGACTGACTTATCCGGGGTGTGCCCCATGTCTCGCCCAATGTTGGCTCTGATTGGCTCCAGCACACCCCCCAAGGATAAGCGAGCGCAGCTAATAGACAGATGGATAAAATGAAACAGAAAGGATCAGCTCCAGAGATCACACTGCTGCACTATTTTTTTTTTATATCATAACTATACAGTGCCCTCTATCATTATTGGCGCCCCTGATGAAAATTATAGACAAGTGTAACCTTCAACTCAACTCAAATGAATTGTTGGCAAAAGGGGCTTGTACACAGTATGAACATCAAGGGTGCTAATAATTGTGGCACACATGGTTTGATGTCAAAGAATTATTTTTTAATGAATAAACACTGAATGAATGCACTTGAATTAAAGGTTGAATTTTCCTCTTTTTTTCCCATCGTGGTCCTATATTATTTAGAAAAAAACTGAATTTCCTAGAAGCTAAAGAACACATCTTAACCAGGGGTGCCAGTAATTATGGAGAGCGCTGTATATAACAATAAAGTTCTATTCTATTCTATTCTATTCTATTCTATTCTATTTTATTCTATTCTATTCTAATGTAAAAACTACACAATCTTAGCAGTTATTAATTGGCACTCTTGGTCAATGTCTCTCACAGGCCTGAGAAAAACTTTCCAGGCAGGCAAAAGCACAAAAAAAAAAGAGATTGAATGTGTCTTACCTGCTGTTCCTGCTGCTCAAGTGCTGCTTTCAACTGGTGCCACTGGTGTGAAACCAATGAACAGTTCTGTGTTTCTACTTATACATCAACGTCTTTCTCGTCTCCCTTATATTGTTCCCGTCTTTGCCCTTTTATATCCCCCCTCTCTCTCTCCCTCTCTCTCTCACTCTCTCTCTCTCTCTGTGCCAGCGGGGGGCAAACTGAGCGTGTGTGGGCAGCAGCCAATCAGAAAACAGCAGCTTTGGCGACATTTGCAGCTCACACATGTTCAGTCTCACAGTCTCATACTGACACACTTATTATAGGATGGATGCAGACGTACATAATACTTTCTGCTTCTCTCTCTCTCTCTCTCTCTCTCTCTCTCTCTCTCACACACACACACACACACACACACACACTGAAGCACATCTGTCATCTGTGACCATCTTCTCCAGCGTTTCAGAGGATTAGCATGTTGTTGTGGTTTTTTTTTTTTTTCATTTTTGACGTCGAAACTCAACTTGATAATCCCCTCTGACTGCGTGCACAATGTGCAGTTGTTGCAACGCTGAGATTTCGCGTGTGTGTGTGATGTCTTTTTCCTTGTGTTTCATTTCATACAAGGCATGCAAAAGCTTGCCGTTTGTGATGCCACTCTGATTTACATGCAATGCTGTCTTCCCGGGTTAAGTATGTTATATAATCGACCGATGTACAAATGTGACGTCGCTCCAGCGTGGTGCTTTTTTATTCAGACGACGCTGGATAACATAAGCCGGAGGATGTCACAGGAAATTATGAGTCACGTAACGTATAAGCGATAATAAATTACCTGGAGTTGAGTCTAAAACAAGATCCTGAAACCAGCGTTCACTCCGTCAGGGGAATTTATTCAGTAAACCCTGAGTCCTCCTCCAACTCTGGACCCTCCACCTATTTATTCTGACAAAATTAAATCTCTACAGTGAACCCTAGAAGCCATCTGCATTACAGTACTGGACAGAAACACGACCAGATTAACCTGGGTCCCCCACTGGGCTCAGAAAAACTGATCTGCAGAAACCCTATAATCCCCATTTTTCTCTAGAAAGCTGCTTTGTGGCATTCTCAGGGTCAATTTTATCTTTAATATACTGTCGATGCTATCTCCAGTAGATCTCGACACCCTTAGAGTGATTGGTTTCTCCCTTTATGCAGACGATACTCTAATCTATTTTAGCTGCAACCCCAATTTTAAAGAGATTTTCTCTCTTTTAAACTACCTTAATGACATCTAAACGTGGATGGCTGTAAACTCTTTTAAATCTTTTTCATCCCTGATTTAATTCCAGAGTGTATCTGGAAATATATCATAAGCCAACGCCATTTTTCAGATGTTGCTGAGTGTGGAACCATTTTTTAAGAGGCCACCAAGTACTGCTACGATTAAATAGATTTTGCTTTGTGCTCAATTTCTGCTGCATCACATTTGGTAGAGCATGTTTAGGTTTTTGTTTTAAACCTGAGCAAAGGAATATCCATTTATTCTTTTCCTTGAGCAAGGAACAGATGGACATTAAACAATGCAACACCATAATCAATTAATTCGATCGTGTTTAGAGCAGACAATTCTGCTGGTTTTCCTTTCTGAAAAATACATATAAATGTGAATCTCTATATCTGAATTCCAAATGAACATAAACACTGCCACGTGAAATGGATGAAAAAAACAGATCATCATTTTCAGCAAAAGCATCAGAATATGTTTGTTAATAGCTTTATTTTTTTCTTGAGTTGTTGTATGAATAAAATATAGAACCTCCAACATAACAAATATTAACTGTGCAAAACAAACTAACTGTGTAGTATCAGTCTTTTATTGTATTTTAAGGATTTTTTTTTCTACAAGCAAATGAGGATCAAGACAAAAAAATGAATGAAATGCACGAAAAAGCATCTGTAGCACACCATTTTGCTGATATAAATGTTTTCTTTAATGAATTATTCAATAAAAAAGGGCTTAGAAGTTTTACCATTAAACATTAATAATCACTGGAAACTGCATAATAGCGTCCATTTAGATATTTATAGGTACAAAGTAAAAGTACTTTATGATAATGTATAAGGGCGTATATGAACAATAAGGATACATATAGCAAAACTGATTTAAAACAAAAACTTTCACGTACTTGGCTAAATAATGCCGCTAAGAGCCTCTTTCTTTCTGTTGGTACCCTTTAATGAACTCAAAATTAGTCCAAGCTTTGCATAAAAAAAGCCTCCTTTCAGTGTGTCGTGGTCTTTTCATGGTTATTTCTGTGTCTTTTCTAATAAATGTTAAATTTCAGCAATAGAAGACAACAAAGCAATTAACAGACCAGAGTTTCCTAAAGCCAAGGCAGCCAAGATGAGAGACTTTATCAGGGACTCCTGAAACAGAAAGAGAAAATTAGAAAGTTGAAATAAGAGCTCCTAACCTCTCCACAAAGACCTTTCTCACAGCAGATATGAAACGTTTCTAAATCTGCGTTCTTGTCTACAATCCTGCGTCAAAATGCTTTCAGTCAGAGTCCAAGTAATGGTTATATTTAAGGTTAAATTCAGGTTAAATTGGTGTTTGTGAGGAGGGAGAACCTGTGTCCAGTGAGGCTGATCTTACAGACTATAGAGAGCAGTTCCAGTGAAAACTAAACATTATATTCAGTGGATTTAGATTGCCCAGAGACATTGCGATTGATATAATAAGAATAATAATAATAATAATAGTTCCTCTCATCTCCACTGAAACACACAAATATTCTCAACTGTAAAAATGATTATTTACTTTCTGTAACTTTTCATAATTTGGATGAAGCAAAATTTTTTAAATGAACCTGAAGAGAACAAAACAGTTCACCTCTGTAAAATTTTAAAGCTCCAAAAGACAGTAATACAACATCCCAAACATACAGGCCAAACACACTGCAGCATCTACAGAAACCCATCAGCTTAAGAACATTTTTTTCATTACTAAGCTGACTGTTCAAATTCACTCCTACAGTATTAACACTCCTGCAAATCACTGCACTTATTAAAGCAGCAAAAATAAAAACCCACGTAAACCTCCCTGTATTAAGCCACTTAAAATACAAGAAACATACAGTGATTCTCCAGAGGAAACAAGCATTTGAACCTTTGCTGGAAAACAATAATTCACCTGAGCAGAGCTGAGTTTTGTTTACTGTGTTTTCACTGCAGAAACTGTGAATCTGTGCACAACAACGAGTCAGCTGGTTGCTTTTAGGAAAGTTACATCTGATCACAATGACATGTCAGAAGATGTAAATAACTAATGAAGCTGCTGTGTCACCTAAATAAACTGTGCACAGCTCCTGGATCTTGATGCAGTGTGATTCTAAAGCTGTTTAATAATAAAAGAAAAGAAGGTCTGTGTAAAATATGAGGTGTTGTCTGAGAGCAGAGTTCAAGATTTGTATAATTCTGTGATGCTAAAAGAGACTCCACTCCTGCGTCATCCGTCCCGGTCTAACCCCCGGAGATGCTGAAGTGTAATCACCTGAGCTCACCTGAGCTGCAGATGCCAGTAAAAAAGATTGTTGCCCTAATTCCAAATTTAACAGACTCCTGCGTTCAAATTCCTAAAAGGCCTGATTTGACTCATTACAGCAGATAAAGGGCTCTGCAGCATTCGGATGTGTCAGTAAAGAGTACAGCATCTAAATGGAGCACAACCGCTTTTAGCATTATTAGCTACACATGTCGGACATGTCAACGAAATTGGATTTTAGCTTGATGCTAAAAACAAAAATACACTGAAAAAAAACCCACACATACTGTTATAAAAAATGCATATGAAATAAACAATGTTTGGGTTTGAGGTGTGTACTTACCCAACGACTGTACAGTAGCTGGTCAGGGAGAATGGCCTGTTGTTCATCTGACCCCAGCGCTGCAAGTCAAACAAATCACAGTTATAATACACAAAATCGCTCCACAGTGCATCTACTGCTGCACTCAGTTCAAATCAAAAGTCTCCCAATAAAACACCTAAACAGGTATTTACATTTTATTTTGTAAAAGTGCTTGTGCATCCAAAGAAGGACCCTCAATGAGGCCAGCAAGACCACATAGCCAATCAGAACATCTGTCGCCCACGGAGACGGGAGGAGCAGCGATGACTGACGCACCCCCAGGAACATGGACGCCACTGCAAGACAGCAAAATGTTAATGTAATTAATCAGTCTGGTAAAAAGCACAGAAAAATTAAATGTGTTAAAACATCTGTTCTGGTAAGAGTCCAGTGTGTTTGAGCAGACGTACCTGCCAGGATCTCAGTCACAAATCCAACGCTCCAGTGAGCTCAGTTAAAGATAAACCTCCTGAATAAAGATAACAATGACTGTTAGAACCAATATAAGGCAAAGTAAATGTAATGATTACCAAACAACAACAAAAAACAGCTTTAAAAATATGTATACAGTGCCTTTAAAAAATATTCAACCTCCTTGGAAGTTCTCCCCTTATGTTGCTTTTCAACACTGAATCATCAACATCATTTTTATTTTTGACAAGAATTTACTAATAAAGACTCTTTCATGTCAAAATGAAAACGGATTTCTACAAAGTAATGTCAATATAAAGAATAAAAAATGTAAAATAATAATAATTTCATAAGTATTTGCCCCCTTTAAGCCAGTATACGCAGATGCCTCTTTGGCCATAATGACAGCATTCAGCCTGTCTGGATAGGTCTCAATCAGCCATACACATCTAGAGACTGCAATTTTATCCCATTTCTTTTTTTTTACAAAGCTTTCAAGTTGCAAATTGATGGTGACTAAGCAGCCCTTTTCCAATTTTGAAATTCTCAATAGGACTCAAGTCCGGGCTCAGACTCGGACATAGAACAGTCACCTTGTTGTCTTTAAATCATTTCTGTGTAACTTAAGCTTTATGCTTTTGGATAATTGTCTTGCTGAAAAACTAATTTTCTCCCAAGTCGCAGTTTTCTTGCAAACTGCATCATTTTGTTCTCCAGGATATTCCTGTATATTTCCTATTTACAGGCCTTCAAGAGCCTGCTGCTCAGTAGCATCCCCACACCATGATGCTGCCACCACCATGCTTCAGAGTGGATACGGCGTGTTTGCGATGATGTGCAGCGTTTGGTTTCTGCCAAACATAGAATCTAGTCTGATGGCCAAAAAGTTCAATTTTGGTCTGATCACACGAAAGAATCTTCTTCCAGTTTACTTCAGGATCTCCCACGTTGCCTTCTGGCAAACTCAAGTTGAGATTTAAAGCAGTCATAGGTGTCTCGGTGGCCTCCATGACTAGTCCCTTTCTTGCACAGTCACTAAGTTTTTGAAGACGACTTGCTGTAAGCAGATTTACGAATGTGCCATACTCTGGATGGATTTAACTTTACTCCAAGGGATTTTCAGTGGCTTGGAAATTTTCTTGTATCCATCCCCTGACTTATGCTTTTCAGTAATCTTTTTAACAGAGTTGCTTGGAGTTTTCTTTTGCCTTCATGGTGTAGTTATATCCAGGAGTCCTGATTCACCAGTGACTGGACCTGCCAGATACAGGTGTCTTTGTACTACAATCACTTATTAAGACACACTCACTGCACACAGACAATCTCCATTTCACTAACTGTGGGACTTCTAGCACCAGTTGGACCTATGTTGAATTAAGTGAGTCACTTTAAAGGGGTGAATACTTATGTAATCATCATGTGTGACCTCTGACCCTCTTTGTGATTTTGTAATTATTAATTTCATATGTCAATGTAGTCAGTCACGTTATACAGGCCTTGTCATTGACCTTTGCATTCATCAGATTCGACTTCAGCACTGATTCATCAAGTTAACCCAGAAGGAACTATACAAAATAAAACTCAGAACCTTGAATGTTATTTGTTCTTCCTGCTAACACTGGCCCTGAAGCAATTCTTCACACATAATACAGTGACCTGTGCATGTAATTGTGAATCGTGTTTACCTGTCGGAGTCAGGTGGTGGTCTGTGCATGGCTGCTATTGGTTGAATCAGAGATAATATCAGAACGCAACAGCCGAGGTAGGGATGGACACCAGCATGCTGCACACACAGAGACACACGCATTAGTAACTGCTAAGTGGTCCTACATCCCCCTCTGCTGGTGATGTACGACTATAACCACAACAACTGGAAAACACTGACACTGAGTGAGTTATATATCTGCAGTTGAATAAAATTGACATAAAATGCTGCAATGCATATATACATACTTACACACAAAACTTCTGAATGATCTGAATTAATGTTGCAGTTTTTATTTCTGTATAAGTCCAGCACAACTCCAGCTGTTATTAAATCACTGCAGTGGTTAGGGTAACCTTGGACAAACTGCTGATAGAATCTTATCGTGGGTCTGCAGCTACTGAACGTTATTTTGCGACTAAAAAACTTGCACATCTATTTCATGATGCAAGTGCAAAGAAAAGGGATTCAAACAGACTCTATTTTTTTTTTATTTAAAAAGAAATTCATGTTCCCATATATTGTGCTGCGGAGGGTCTCAAAGAAATGTATACCTGTGATGATTTATAATTTATGCCAACCTTTCCCTACTTACTATGTTTAATGTTATCTAGTAGAATATTGTGCTTTTTCAGGTATTTCTTTATTGTAATTGCAGGTTTATCTACATGCACAAACTGTAACTTAAGGTCGCTCAAAGCATTCATATCCTGGGAGTATTTTTTTTCTATATGTTATTGAAAATTGTCATTCGGTGGAATGTTTTGTAATGACTGACTTACAGCTGCTCCCTATTTAAGATTCTCTCTTTGTACCAAACCATTTTCCTGATAAAGGTCTAGCGCTGATACACTGCACAAACAAATGTATTGTTGCTGAATAGACAGTGTGTGGGAGTCTGTTTGACACTGCTGAACAGTCTGTAAAAGCACTAAAAGCACTGAATTCAGTTCCCTCAAACAAGGCCTTCTAAGTCGTTATTTAAAAAAATGTCTTAAATGTTTATTCTTGCCTCCTTTAGACGTTGATTAAACCTTTATGTTTGTTAAGTGACAGTTGCTTAGAAGCTTACGAAGTCACAATGAAGTGTCAGTTTAAGCATAAATGTGTATTTTGTGTTGCTTTTTTTTTTTTTTGCCTATCTTTGTCGTGCTTCATCTGAGCTCTGTGACACATTAACAGTCTCTTAACACAGGATCTCTATCTCAGGGACTCCCTGACCTCTGACCTTTGGCCTCTGGGCTTTCCCCTTATGGGTGTGTTCAGTAATCCAGTCAAGTGACCTTAATTGAAACTTCATGAGTCAGAGGGGCCTAATGTTCTGACTCGTGCATTCGTTGCTTCCAGGTGTTTGTGTAAAATTTTCTGTGTTTGTGTATCTCACCTTACTCCAACCTTTCCTGTAGAAAAATGGCAGGCAAAAGGCTACAACAGTCAGAGTCACAGTTAGCGTCATCAGGCCTCGATGAACCTACACAGAGAGATACGATTGCGCTCATATTTCTTCTGCTTATCTTTTTTGTAAAGATGATGCTGTGCAATAATGTGTGTTTGCATAATATCCACCTGGAACCAAACTTTCTGGCCAAACAGAGTCTGATTTGGCCAATCAGGTTTGTAGAAGCTTGCAATGAAGGTACCAATGCTTCCTGTTAGCATCCAGGCTAACAGCATTAGTGCACCTAAGAGAAGCAGAATCAATTCAGCATCTAGACAAGCTTCCTCCCTCTGACCAAAATGAGCTTTTTACACGTTTGTCACTGATTGTGCATGAAAATGATGATTATGATCACAGTTATGTTTACAGAGCTATGTGATGCATAGAGAAACATAATGCAAACGTATTTCAATGCAACCTAAACGTAAAAATTAAGCGCTTAACCCACCATGCATTTTCATAATGGTTGGACTCCGGGAGCCTTTGAGGACTTCAGGGGGACCAGTGATGCGTTTACTGTTACTGGAGATTAGCGGCTGGCGTCCATGTTTCCTTATTTCACCTGCAGGAGGGAGACAAAGATGGTGCTTGTAAAAAGCCTGCAAAGCATTTTAATTTTAACACCTAATGTACATGTCTGACTATTTACAGTGGTGGATTCCAGACAAGAAGGACATGAAAGGAGTTGATGTTGCTGTTTAACTGTCAGACATCTAAAGTCTGATAATGCTGCCAGTGACCCAGCGGCGACACTCCATCTAAACAAACAGCAATAAAACAAATCCACAACAAATTATGACACTTATACTCTACCCATAGTTCAACCTAAACAGAACTGCAGCAACAGTGCAAGTTATTAGTTATAGACTTGATTCATGACATACTGTCAAAGCTTATTTCAATCTTGCAAGGCTGATTAAATATTAACCAGCATGTAAGAAAAAGTCCTGAATAAGCAGCAAATCAGCACTAAGTGCTTTATGTGCCCAACATTTCCTGTTAATGACATCCTGTTTGGTCTAATAAAGCTGACACTTGTTCCAAGATTTGATCAAACTGTCATGTGACATCATAATAAACTTTAACTGATTGATAAGAAATGCAATTGAGCTCTAAGACACAGAATGGCTGCCAGGGTCGGCGGGTTCAGAGCTGTCAAAGTAACACGTGAGCATGTACCCTTTCTCACCGTACTCAGCGTGTCCACTGGCTAGAAACAGAAAGTAGTCCTGGTCTAGATCAAAGCGGGCCTGTTCCCGGTTGGTCAGTTTGACTGGTCGACTGAACCTGCACTGGATCGATCCATCAGCCAGTCGCCATGACACCGAGGAGAGACCAGACTGCAAACGTAGACAAAGAATAAAGAACTACAACAGAGGAAATACAGTATACAAATAAAGTCAATACACACCTGTGCAAAATCAAAACTGTATCACTTCCCAATACCTGCAGAATGTCTAAGTTCACAAGAAGAGTGTTTCCTCTAATGAAATTCATTGCAACAAAAGTGAATACATGGACACACAAGTTGGAAAACCTGTGATCACTGAAACCAAACTGAGTACAGCTGTGATTTCCATTCAGCCTAATTACAAGAACATTATCATGTGAACGCCAGAACTGTCACAGTTTTATACCTATGGGCTGTGTTTATCAGTATGTCTGCTTCATGGCTCCACATGGAAAAGAACTGCCAGAGAAACTGAAAAAATCTGATTGTGACACTTCAGAACGATGGAAAATTGGTAACCAACTAAAAATCTGTGAAAATAGATTTGCAGCAGTAATTAGGAGGCATAGAACGAACCATAGTACCACTGATCAGAGTTGCAGTGGCCACACTGCTAAAATGACACCATGGGCAGTGCACGACTTGCACAATCAAGCTCTATAAAACAGACAGGCAGCTGCTTCAGTCTTGGCACAGGAGTTATCAGTTGAAATCAACATTTCTGTGACAGCTCAGGCGAGGTGAGAAGGATAGTACATAATTTAACATTTACTCATGGCATCCAAGAAGAAAACGCCTGCTTGCTCTTTGGCACAAAAGTTTAAACTTTGCTCACAATTGTCATCAAGTTTTTCACGTCCTTTACCAAAGTCTTTGATCAGATGAGACCAAGATACATTTGTTTGGCTCAGATGGGTCCAGCATGTTTGGTGTGAACCTGACCAGGACAACCACAGTGAACACATAGACCCGACAGTGAAGCACAGATGTAGAAGTGTGATAAGGGTTCTCCCATTAATGGCACGTGGATGGCAGAACAAAGTGCGCTCATGAGGTGGACGGCCACTAAAAGCTAAATTAAGAGTTGTTTAAACTGTAAAAAAAAACCTGGAAATGTGCACAATATGTCCTATTAAAGTCCATAAAAAACAACTAAAATGATGGGATGAAGAAGAGGTGAAGTGATTTTTTGAAGAACCACGCTGATGGAGATCCCTACCAACACCCACCTCTACAGGGGAAGTCCTACAAACTTTTATTGGAGACAATAATCTGCTGTTACTGAATGTCAGAAAAGTCAGAAGTAGCTCTTAAGACACACAGTCCAACAGCCATTAAAAGTTGTGTAACAGTCTCTTTCCTTGTTGGTTTTCAGTGATATCTGAAGTCCACTGCTCTCCCTTCCTGCATTTTCTGCTCATAAATCAATGGATCTATTCAGAGACGGCCTCCTTGTACTTCCTCCTAATGTGTGTCCATCTGTTACCTGTGACTGGTCCTCAGGATATGTCCGTCCACTGACGAAGCCCGCACTGACCGATACTCTGTCCCCGTCTTTTACACACAAATACACGTCATCGTTGCCCTGCAGAGACAAACACACACAGAAATACATGCTGACTATAGTGTGACAGAGCTGCTACATAACACTAAAAGCTTCATCAAGGAAAATTGTTCTTCTCAAAGCTCATGCAGCACTACAAAGAGTCATTATTGATTAAAATTGCAGGTACTTTTTAGACTTTACTGAATATAAACTAGTTGTATATTTGATGCACAATATTCTATTACACTGAGGAACTTACCATCCATGTATCCCACGACAGAGCAAAGGAAACGTATCCCTCCGCTGGACCACTCAGCTCGAAGATCACACTCTGCAGAGAACGTTATTACATCAGTCCTGTCATTTCAGATGCTCAAGTTGAGATGTTTGACATCATTGGATTCTGTCTACACGGCAAATCAACATTTAGAGATTTTTTTTTGTAAGACTGAAAGAAAAAAAGATTAAAATTATCAAAAAAAAATGAGGGCAAACAGAATAAAATCATGCAATATATGTTATTCCTGTGTGTACACTAGCAGATTACCTTAAAATCCTCCCAACACAGTGTCTTAGTTTGAATATTGGTGTTACAGTGCTTCTTATTGCACCTTTAATTGTTTCACGTAAACTGTCAAACCGTTTTGTCTGCTCCCTCCGTGGACATGGACATGAAGAAGCAGTGAGGATCTTCCTCTGGATCACAGCCTGGAGGGTCCAGCAGGCAGGATTTGAACTGACCGCAGCCCACAGAGGTGAACTAAAGGTGTAAAATGAGGTGATTAATAAGCTACGCCGGTTGAGGGGAATCACTGTCTGCAGTTTAAGTTGTGTAACACTCACAGGTCCAGGCAGTATTGAGGGCGTAGTCGGTTTAACTGGAGGACGTGTAGTGGTGGTCGGATGTGGGTGTGGAGTGACACCGTGCTGATAGATGATTGGTCCAGGCACCTTCAGCCAAAATTTTTTGTAGTGGGCAACTACGGTCACGCTGGACAAAACAACCACGGACAGAGAACACATTCAGTAAAACAGTGCAGAAATGGTTAAAAAAAAAAAAATGTGATGACATATTTAACTTCCTATTAACGCCATTGTATCAAAATCAGCTGCAATTCACCAACAGAGTGACATAACCCTCGATATGCAAATGACAATAAAAAAGTTAGCTACACCTGCTTTTCTGCAGCAAGTCCTTTTTTATTTTTATTTTTTAAAGTTTTTGCAAATATAACGTCAAACTGATACCAGAATTGAAATGAAAACATACAAATATACTTTTGTTTTTTTACAGGGATGGCTATTTGGCTCCTAAAATGCTAGCGTTCTGCTAATGCACGCTGTTTAGTCCATCAACAATTTATTAACGATTGTAACAGAACATGCTCAGTCGATAGTATCTGGAATCTTGAGTTGAATTAAGTTGGATCTTCATGTTTGGCAGCTTTGTGTAGATTTGGCCAAGTATTAGTATGCCAACTAGTGGATTTAATGACCTCTCCATGCTTGTACGAAAATGATTCGAGTGCTGTGATCTTTGCTTATCTACAAGATGCACAAATTAGAAAATAAAGTCAAGCTGAAAATATGTTTTGTTGTTGTTATTCTGCATGCTGCATAATGAGGATATGAGTCAATGATATATTACCTATAGGGCAGTCTTAAACAAACCTATAAGCATATTCCTGCCTAATATTTAAAAAACCAGATGTGATGGAAACACAATACCTCGCTGATGTGCAGCAATTAATTGACCCAAGCTCTGCTGTGTTTTACTCATATCACTGTAGTCACCACTTCTGGCCACAGTTACTGCACTAGTCAGGCAACATTAAAGAAGAAATCAACTTACAAGAACTGAACCTCTGTGGGAGCATTCTGAGGAGCAGTCCAGATCACAACAACCTCCGTCTGTCTGGCATCACTCGTCTGACTCACTGCTGAACCCTGCAAACACAGACACACTGCAGATTCATTCCCCACATGTGCTTTTAGGACAGTATTTCATGCTATGTATATTTGTCTTTTATTTTGTAGTAGCTCATCACTATACTTTGTGCGCGTGAGTGCATGTACGTGTGAACACACACCTGTTGTTTGTTACAGGTGAGCAGCTGCGTCCTGGTTGGATTGGTCAGGGTGAAGGTGCCGATGGCAGACTCCGATTGTGTTTGGGTCGCATCTCTGGCCTGAAGCAGGAAACCCTCAAAATATGATGTTCCTGAGAGGGTGACTGATAATAATGTTTTTAGTATTAAAGTACTGAAAGAAAAATATATTCACGCTAACAATAACTGACACTGATTTGCCTCTAACCTCTTGACAATTAGAGAGATTACGAAGAGTTCATTTGCAAAAACTCAATTTTTGTAGATTTTCAGAAAACAGTTGTTGTTGTTTTCTTGAGATGATATCAGTCAAACTGAAGTTGAGTGGATTTGACTCAGTAGAAATGACATGACAAAAATAGAGATAGCTTAAGTTTTATTGATTTTATCTCAGGTAGACCATAGAAAAGTGGGTTTTCTGAAGGTTTGTTAAGAGGTTTGAGAGGAAATTATCTGTTTTTGCAAATAAACTCTTTATGTAAGAAAATTATAAAAGTAACTTCTAGTGTGTGAATTCTGTTTAAGAATGTCTTCCTTAAAGATTAGATAAAAATATGTGCATTTTTTTCCACATTCGAGGCTTTATCACAGCACTGGGTTGAACTAATGTACAAGTGTCTGATCATTGTACATTTAACTTAAATCTGAACAATAACATCAGTGTAATTTGCAATGTTGCTTCTTCTCACTAGCTTGTGCCACATCAGTTTCAGTATCTTGTAATATTACATTTTCATGAACAATGTCAGCGTTATATTACTTTGCTACCTCAAAATCTTTTACAATCATTACGTTTCTATTCCAGTCTTAGTTTACTTTATACCTTATTGCTTTTCTGTTAGACACTGCATTTACTCTGATGTGTGGAGTTTAAATTTCAACATTTCTGACAAATCTTTTTGGCTGGTTTGTCCTTAGGTACCTTGGATGTGATCTCCTGGACCGAATGTGGTGGTGTTAGTCTGCAGCTGATATGGGCTGGGTGTGGTCTGACCAGAAGCTCCACCGTGATGAGGCTTCATGCTGCCACACACTTTGGTGACCTTACCGTTGGCATAGCAACATGCTGGAGCCCAGTGACACACCAAGACGGAGAAGAAGAGGAGAAAACACAAACCCACAGGAGACATCTGCAGGATGAAATATCAGCTGGTGTCCAGGTTGTCTGACTGAAGAGAAACGACTGAGGTCAACATGACAACAAAGTCGGATTTGCAGATTTAATGCAGTAATGGTGCAATTACACATAAATAGATCAATCATTCAACACTTCACTGCTTCTTGTATTTAATTTTAAGATGCTGACAATAAATGGAAAGTGTTGATTAGGATACTATCCATCGACCTATTTTATATTATTTATTCGGTGAAATAATTCCATAAAAAATGGTGAAAATCCAGCGACAAGCATGTCATTAAAAAAAAAAAACCCAGTGGAAGACTGCAACGTTTAAAAAATTGAAAAACTGCTGAAAATAATATGTAACTTTACCAAGTGCAATTTCAGGGTCACAGATTGTGAAACAACAAAATATTGTTTGTAAAAACACAGATTTTTTAAAATATGATGTTAGGTACAGTTTTGGCATGGAAATTAATTTCCTTTGGACCCATTCAAGTTTTATTTAATCTCATCTTAACTTAATTCTTTTCTGTGATTTTACTAGAAATTATTTGTAATTTAGCAAAACAGGGAAAATATGAAAGATAAAAAATATGTATATAAAAAAATATGTACCAACTTTCAATCCTTAACTTAAATAGCTGTTCTTTGAAATGGCACCAATACTTGAAAATAATTATATTTTTTGCTTTTTTAAACGCTTTTAAAAATTGTGTAATTTTACAGTCAAATATTTAAAACTATCTCCAACAATTATTATTTGTAAAAATACAGATGTTTCATGCAGACATTATTGTAACTGTTGGCATCTAAATTAATACTTTTCCTGTAATTTTACTAGCTAATGTTTATATTTCAGTAAAACTGGAAAAATCTTTTGAATAACAGTAAATTGTTAAAAAAAGGAGACAGTTAAAACTTTTTTTCTTACAGTTTAGCTTATAAATAATCATATTTATTTATTTCTACACCTAGGAAAGATAGAGACGTAGAAACGTGGTTGTCGTACTCACCACTCAGCTGCAGCAGAAAGAAAAACCAGCTTCAGCTTCACGGAATACCGTACGAGTGAGACTTTATTTGTGAGTGCAGCGTCATTTTCTGTCTGTGTTTCAAAGTGTAGCAGGAAGAAACGCTGCAGCAGTTTTACAACCAGGAGGCTGGACTATTGGAACGACCAGATATGACTCTTCACAGGTAGTTACCTTTGTCACGTCCACTCTCCATTTCCATCTGTATACAGAGCTGTGCAAAGGTTTACACGCTAGATGTAAAGTGAGGATGCTCATGTATCAGCTCATGTCATACAAAGTGCAGTAAATCTGTCCAACACACACTGCTGCCTTTAAAATAAGATCTTAGAAAATGTGTCAAAGTTTATCTGTGGATTCAGTCTGTCTCAGTGTCTCTTCATATAATAACAGACTGAATCAATAATGTTAAGATTTGAACCAATGGAGGCCACAGTAGCAGGACATCTTGTTCTCCTTATTGGTGAACATCTTGATTGCTTTTTGTCTAAGATCCTCACACTGTAACAACAAATCCTGTAAAAATATACTGAAAATAATGTAACAACTGTGAAAGCAACATCTGTAAAACAATTAAATTTAAATACAACAAAATTGTCATTTTTCATACAACAGTCTTGTATGACTGACTGGTGACAATGACCATGATGACTATAGGAACGACAGTGTCATGTGATGACAAAGTGCTTTTATTTTTTTAAAGAATAAGAAGCAGACAGATGATAAAGTCGGCGTTCAAAACTGACAGCGCTGCTAGCAATGACACCTGCACATGCGTCTACACACAAACAGATCTACAGTTTGGTCTTGAAGCAGTGTTTTGCTTTGTTACTGATCAATCTGATGAGATATTTAGACTTCCGATTGCCTGCCTGCTGCTGATAGTGCAGCTCATCACTTCCTGAGCTTTACAGCTTTTACAGCATCGACAGACCTAATGTAGCTTTTCAAGATCTTTATTGCTGCTAATTTCCTGCTAACCCATAAGCTCTCTGCTATCTTTGAATTACCTGAGAGTAAAGTCATGTGACCTCATGCCAAAAATTCACCAATAACAAACTCAGTGATCAGTGCAAGGTGTGTAGACTGGTTTGTTGTCTGTTTCTCACTTCAGCTGAAGCCCTCGGGGTGAGTGAATTCAGGAATGTGTTGTTGTGATTTTCTGGACGAACTGGAACAACAGAAGTTCCTGTGTCATCTTGTACAATATCACAGCACCAGACCACAAACTGCAGCGTCACTCTTATACAGTAAACTTTTATCTACGTCTCATACAACGTCACATCACATTTAAAAACTTTATGTGAAGTCATTTCCTTGAAGGGAAAGCTGAGGCGACAGTTTCTTTACAAGTGTTGAAAAGCTCAAAGTTCAGCCCTACAGTGAGCAGCGACTGTATAAAAGATGGACGTGGTCATGTCAGCCACCAGTTTGTGGAGCACTCCTTTGAAATCTGGAATGAGCGTAATGAGCGGGTGGTGGATTTATGCCATTAAAAAAAGTAAATAAAAAGAATTTAATCTGTTTTTCATTTGCAGTTTGATTGGGTGCTCAGGTGATGAGACCTTATTGGTGAAACTACAGCGTGTTCTGCAGTGTTTACGTCTACAGTTGAGCAAAGTAAAAGTCAGGAAGGCCATAAATGTCTCTAAATCCTATGTGGACGTTTTACTGAAAATACAAACCAACGTGCAAAAAAAAAAAGAAAAGAAATATAAGGTGCCAGATGCTGTCGCCTTTTCACACCATCTAAGCCTGCTTTGGGAACATTTTGTGGGGAACACAACAGCCACATTTAGGCTGTAAATCAATAATTTTGCTTTTAACTAGTCCCTCAGGAAAGTCTGCAGGAATCACAGAAAAGGTGCGTATTAGCATCGAAAAGTTCACGTGCACTTTACAGTTTGCCAGCAGAACCACCTTCACCCTATTCAGGACTTTCATTATGCAGAATGTATAATATGTGCAAAACGTTTGTTGGTATTCATTATAGACTTTTGTACTATGTTAAATACATTTTCTGATAATTTGACATATTTGTGGTTCCAAATGCATGACAAATTCAAGTTCAAGGAAGTGTATTAGTGCAGGGGGAGCTACCAGCTTCTCCTGTGTAGCTGCTCCTGGAACCATCACAGCCTTTAAGCATCACTGTTCAGGCAGGACACCGTTCAGTCCTGGTCCCCTACCACCATCATGTGGTCAGTAAAAGTAAAAGAAGTGTTCAATTCAAAGAGAACATAATGTGAGTCTGGGTTTCTATGTTGTTGTTGGTTTCTCCCCAGGAGGAAATAGAAAATTACCTTTACATAGATTTTCATTTGGACCAACAGCTTTTTTCTGTTTGGGGGAATCAACATGTGGAATTTGTTACCTGCAGAACTCACTCAGGATCTTGGAGAGTGGCAGCTAGTGCACAGGATGTTTACGTAATGTGATGTTTTATGCAGGAATACACAAGATACACAGGAAATACAGGATAAGGATTTAGTATTTGCTTATTGAGCATCTTGGTTTGGTTTGCTAAGTTTTAAGTTTGATTAATTTGCGTGTATTTGTATGGAAAAGGACGTTCACTTTGTGTTTTTGATGATCAGTCAGGATTTCTCTCTACACACAGTCGATATCTGTACACGTTTCACATGATGTGAATTGTGCACCTGTTTTCTCAACCAGCCTCTTCCTCTACATAATCTTACATAAACATGCTATTTCTGTCTTATTCTGGAACATTTCTGTATTCATGATTTTTGCTTGTGCTCTGCTTGTGTTCTGGTTTAGAGTGGGAAACATGTGACATCTTTTTATATAACAGTGTATTTAGAAACATTTAAATCTGAATCTAATAGCAGTGGGCGAGTTTGCTGATCCTGCCTTCAGTATAGTTGAAAGCAGATCAAATGACGCTCACACAGTCTTGATTTAACACATCAGCTGAGCTTTTGATTGTTAAACTCAGAACACACTGTACTTGAGGATGCTTCTTCTAAACTTTAAATTCGACTGTTGCTTCATTTGTCACAGCTATTTGTTGCTAATATAAAACAGATTTGAGACTTGTTTGATATTTAAGGGCAGTAATGTGTCACAGTGTTTTTGATAAATATGTCTGGTACACTGTTAAAAAAGGAGGAAAAAAAGTTCTGTTAAAACACAGAAAATCTGGCAGCAAATGTGACAGAAAAAATAGAATAAAAAATGGGATACTACAACATTAAATCACTTCAAAACAGGTGAAAATAATGTATATGAATAATCGCATTGTAGCTTACTTTGACAGTTGAACAGTGTAATTTACTGGTCACATGCTGTTGAGAAAAAAAATGAATTATAATACTATTTGTCAAAATAGTCAATGATAATAATAGTAGTAGTTTTCAGATTTTTAGTGTGGACTTTTTTTTTTACAGTTTTGATCAGTTTTTGGTTTGTTTGTTTTTACAATCAGCCTGTAAATTAATATCCTTTTCTCTGTGATTTTACTAGATATAGTCTAAGTACAATAACAGATTTAAAAATGATCTAATTTAAATTATTAGTACACAGAATTTTCATTCATTGACTGCAAACAACTGTAAAATAATTATATTTTTGCTGATTCAAATACAATTTTTAAGAAGTGTAATTTACAATCAAATATTTTAAAACAATTGCTTACCATGACCTGTCCAGGGTGTCCCCTCGTGAGGATCAGCGGTGTATAGATGATGGATGCATGGAGTTATTTACCATTTGTAGAAGTAGGCCTAGTTTTATACAGTTAACATTTAAATGAATAACTTTTTGTGCGATTTCACAGATTTTTATGTGTAATTTAACAACATTAAGAAAATATGTAAAATACCAGTAAAACTACCAAAAAAATTACAGTGAGAAAGTTTCTGATCAGGCTGTAGGGGCCAAAACATTTAATTTGCAATTTCAGAAGCTTTTCCATCTGAACAAAAGTAGAGTCATAGAAGAATGACTATGTAGAATAGCATGCACTTCCTGTAGCTACTGTCTAGACATGTCACTATGTCCCAACTGATCAAAGTCATCAGTTGATATTGAACATGTGTAGGCTTGAATGGCTGGATGTGATCATTAAGGCAATGATTAAGACGAAAAAGCAAAGCTGTTCAAGCCTTATAATATCAGCATAATAATATTTTTACAATTTAATCAGGTATCCATCTGATTACAAAAACTTTGATTACAACTAAATTCACCTGATCTCTGCCAGTGGATGACATAATCCTGGCATTATGTTACAAGCCAGCCTGCATTTCAGGCCTGGTGTCCTGCTCTCTGGCTGCCCAACAACTGCACTGCAGAGTCAGGTTATGCAACCCCCCCCCCCATGTGTGTGCATGGTGTATGACTGCGACCGGTAATGCTTTGAAATTGCGCAACAGAAATTATGCAATTGGAGGTTCTTTGTGACTGTTTTGGCAGCAGTCTCCAATTAGATTTGATCATATTTGTCATTACTGTAAATATTCCAGCTTACATGAAGCACTCCAGCACTGCACGTACACTGCAGAAAGTGCATCGAGACTTTGAATAATTTAGAAATGAAGAAATCTGTACTTGCAATATGGTGTTTCTGTGGTCAGAATAAAAGCTACATGATTTAGGATTTGAGTCCAAATGCGAATGGTAACGGGTTCATAGCATAATTAATGCTTGAGCAACCAAAACTACACTTCCAACAAAGATTGCACTAAATTTATTTTAGGCAATTCAATTGGCTTTATTGACGTGGAAGTCACATGGACAAAATTGCCAAAGAATTCAGGAAAATATGACAATTATATTACAGAACAATCAAAACGTATTTATAACTCATCAAGGACTTATTACATATGTGTTTAATATATAATAAATACCCATAAAAGTCTGACCGAGGCAACTGAGAAGTGTTCCAGTTGAATATATGTAATGTCATTGATGCCTTTACTTGAGCAAGAAAAGATCGAATAAATAAATAAATAATATAACAAATTAAATATAAGATTAATTTAAAAAGAAAAATTTCTTGTGCTTTCTTTTTTTCCCCATTCCTCTTTATTAGTTGCATTACGGTAAAGAAACGCCTGCCTTGACTACAGACCACGCCCCTTCTGCTCAGTTACCGTCCATCCAGGAAAAATAGAACCGTCACACTGCAAACTGTTCTCCTGTTGCTGTGACGGACTGAAGACACAACTGACAGGTGAATGGAAATGGAGTTTTTGACATGTTTTTGCGTTGTCTTGCAGTAGTGACGTGTATTATTTTGCTGCTACGAGTTTTACCCCCAGCTAGCGGCTGCTAGCTTGGAAGACAAATGACTTGCTAGGCAGCTAGCTGCCATAAGTTCAGCTGTCAGAACCTGAAGTGTAACGTGACGCTGCTCACGGTGCTTATTGACATTTACACCCTAATATGGGAGAACAGGTTGACAGTAGCTTTGATTTAAAGAGTCTGCTTCGTGTTTTATGATTTTAACAGTGCCTTATTGTAATTCTCAAATGTCTCAATGTTCCCTTTTGAAACACTGCATTCAAATACGAGCCCCTGTCTGAAGTTTGGCCGTGTACGGTCTAAACCACTGGCCGTTATTTTCTTCGGTAAATTCTAACTTGACGGCACCGCCCACTACAGTACATTCTAATGGCAGCCACTGTATGAAGAACGCGCTGAACCACAAAGTAATTAGGCTGCCTTAATGAAACAAGCTTCCACTGGTAAATGACACATATGCCGAATTGTTAAGAGGTTGCTAACAGTTAATTTGAGCTTTAGCATTTTGTTTTATACTAAATATGGGCTTGCTTTTAATCGAGGCAACGATAAAGAAGCACTTGTTTAAATGGAATTTGGGGTAGAGGCGCAAACAGGACATGAGCGTTGCAGGTCTGTGCAGCCCCTTGGCGGATATTTGTCCACCGTCATCGCGACGTGATTGTGTCTCCGTTGCTTTGTATCGGTGTGAACCCGGTGTACCGGACGGACTGAACACTGGTGGGAGTTTTATAAATAGTGTGACATTAACAGTTGAATTCCTGACCTTGTCCTGATCAGAGCAAAGCAGTGCGCAGACTCAGAGGGAGGGCTCAGTGGGGTTCAGTGACTTGGGATCCGTTAACCTGCTCCAAATATTACAGAACTGAACCCAAAGCCCAGACACCGTGGTTTGGTCCTGTATGCAAGTTATAGCCAGTGCATGAATACTGCCATGCCCAAACTACAGCTGAAGTACTCTGCAGAGTCCCTATAGGCAATGCAGGAGCCCCAGGGTCTGTGATGTGAGATATTAGTGTAATACCTAAATTAACATCCTCTAAAAGCATGCTCAGTTCATACTAAAGCAAAAATCAATTGGAGTTCTTAGAAATCCACATTGTAAACATAATGCCCTTTTGATTGAACCCTGTATGATACCAAACAGTACAGTCAGTCATTTGCATAGTGTGGATTTAATCCTACAAGAGGTTAAAATAGTCAGCAGGATGTGATGGGCTCAGATGCTCTTTTGAAGTAAAGGTCGTAATACCACATGATGAAAATACTTCATGCACCGCACATCCTACGTGTCAAAATTTTTGATTAAGTAACATTTGCAACATTTACTGATAAGTACACTCTCATTACGCATAAAGATAGAATCTTGTGTTATTGTATGTCATTATATGTTGTTATGCAGTGCATTAATGCATATGTGCAATCAGGCACCGTTGTAGTTTTGTGGTTGGTCAATGTGGAGCCAGTTTTAACACTTTAATACTATACAAAGTACAATATCTGTTGTAACTGTATATTGGCCTCTGATATATATTGGAGTAGGAGTATAAAGTAGCAGAAATTTACAGAAATTCTCAAGTAGCTTGGAAGTGTACTGTAGTACCGTGTTTAGATGCTATTTTTCACTTGGCATTGCCTATACTATATATGTCTGTCTATATATATATATGTGTGTGTGTAGTTACATAATACTATAAAACTAATGGTCTCCTTGGAATTACTGCAGCCAGATGTTAAACAGACAGTCCTTTGTAAGCACTTGCATTGCAGCTTTATGTATGCCACACTGTGTTCAGCAAAATGTAGATTTAAAAAGTTAAAATACTTCAGTTTGTGAGTTTAGAAAAGTTCCCCTGGCAAGCTCACTAACTCACTGTCTGAGGAAAGTTTATGTTCCAAATCAGTTTTAATTTGTAGTCGGTGAAGTATCAGGCCTAACTTCCTCATGTTGAGTCACAACGGTTTGCACAAAGCATGTCTCAATCTACGCGTTGCCTAAAACTCATTGTTTAACATTTAACCCTTCTGATCTTCAAGCCAGCTGTAATACCTGCTCTTTGTTGTTTATGCCAGTCATGTACCTAAATGCTGAGTGCTATGTTTGGGATGTGCTGTCATGACTTTTTAAACTGATGCATGTATTGTTTAATCACAGATGATCTGGACTCTTCAGAGCTCTGTTAGATCTCTCATGTTGCTGTTAAAACCTGCATATAGGCCTCTGATAGCTGACCTCTGATGGTCTGTAGTCGGCCTCCTGCAGTTTGACACACTTAAATAGCAGGTTTCGTAACTTTTGACTTCAGAGTTTGAACTGTTTACATTTGTAGTCTGACCTATTTGTCTCTCACTAGAGTTTGTTTAGAAGTCTTGCTCCACAGATTGTAAAATATGCATTGTGAGCTCTGCTTGTAGATATCTACAGCTACAATAGGACTACATGGAAAATATCCTGAAGCAATGCATGTATTATTTGGGTGCTAACTAATCAGATAACATTATACGGCCTTCACTGAGACATTAGTAACATATTGATGGTCCAGTTTTTATTTTTAATGAAATTCAGTCAGCATCAATAGGGTCTGTAAGTATAGCTTTGCTGTTTGCATGTGGGGTACAGAAACAAAAACTATTTACAGCAACAAAGAACAGCCACACACTACTGTTGGGTTTTACAAACAGCTCTATAGAACATACCTTTTTTCTCATTAGTGCAAAATTCCCTCCTGTATATTTGAAAGACACTTTTTTAAATACAGTACTGCACAGAAGGTGTACTGCGCATTGTTGTATTAGAAAAATCATTACTTAATATCTGCTATAGATGGAAGAAACACTGACTATATAACTGGCAAAACCTGTGTGAGTGTTCACATGGGTACCAGACTATTGTTTTAATAGAGAAACCTATTTAGTAAATATTATTTTACAAGTTTTAAGCCTGGATTTTTCCACTGGATGCCCTGATACAACCTGAGGGCAGTTTGAATGAAGTGCCAGCATACTTTAAACGCACCACTCCATGTTGTGTGGAGGACTTTCACTGATGACACAGGGAGCGTCTTCTCATAACTAATTTGGAAATATGCTTTATAGCACATCAGTGGGTTTAACTATGTAGTAATTTGTCTTTTTCTGCCCTTGCAGGAGGCGGGGATCAGTTCGATTTGGAGAGATCTTCTCATTATGTTACCTCAACACTTGAAGCAGATCAGAGTCCTAATGCTTAACGACAAAGAAAATCTCGAGAGAACTCTGTTCAGACTTGAACAAGGTAATGCTTCTTTTAAACAAATGTCTTCCACATAATTAAATTTCTGAGTGTAATGTAATGTTAAAAGTACAGCAGACTCAGCATTGAAAGTTCATGTTTTATTCTGTTATATTCTGTATTTAAAGTACAGTTTAGTCGTAGGGATTCTACTGATTTAGCCAACATGGATTGTGATTCTTAAAATATTCTCAAAATATTTAGACTCAGGGTGGAGTCTGATGCCTAATATAATTCTTTTTGGATGTCAACCAGTGTTTTCCCATACCAACTGCTTTGACCATACAAACTTTCCTCACTCGCTCTCTGTCGTTTTTGTACTTTTATTATGTTTTTCTTTTTTATTTTATTTTTCTGGCCAGAATAGCTTCCCGGCCACTGTTGCTTAATCCAGGTTGGGTGCGTTGCAATAGTATGACCTGACATTTGGGATCAATTTCTGTCCATCTTTGGTTTTAGATGAATTATCACTTGCTGGGAAGCTTTTTAGCATAATGAATCAACCTCTCTCCTTCCTATAGCAAGCTATTTTAACATTTTATAGCTGGACTGGATATGAATTGCAGATGTCCATATTGTCATTCCTCCTAGAACAAATAACGGCGCATTCATGTGTATGGGGTTTCTCATTTCATTTATCTGCAATTCACCTGCAGATATCTGTAATTGGAATTGTGGATACTTGCAGCTAAACTATGACTAGTTGTAATTCCAGTCTCAAAAATCTACAATTTAATTCTGACTCAAGATATCTACATTGTCCTTTTGAGATATCTTCAATTCAGTTTGTCGAAATAATGTTGTAAATATATTCAACTGGAATTGTGACTTGTCAAAACGTAAATACAGATAGTTTGAATGTGACTTTTGTGTGGTGAAATGACATTACACATGTATGTCAGAAGCCTCAGCAAGGAGGCAGAGGATGGGAGCAATTCAGACTAATCATAATTACATTTGGGTTATCGGTAACTATTATTTTGGCTAGTTCAAACTGGATTACATTTGTTTTGGAGAGTCAAAATGAAATTATAGATATCTGGAATAAAACAGACTAGTCGCAGTGTAATTGAAATAGTCAAACTCAACCAGTAAATGTGAAACAAGCTTGCTATATGCCTCCCCCCCACTCTCTCCCAGAAATAGTAAAATGGTAAAGGATACCCTGATGACAAAGAAGTATTTCAAACGGCTGGTGTACGTTTCACAATAAGTACAGTCTGACTTGATAATAAGGACATCATGCAGCAGTAACACAGTGTGTGTTCGCAGAGGGACGTGAAGAGAGAAGTGTAACATCTGACATTTACAGCACTCTGAACCTGATAGGTTAAACTGGACTATATATAGACAATCCCGTCATGATCCAGACTCTAGAGAACCAACAAGACTGACATTTTTTGGCTAATGACACACTGTGTGTGTGAGCATTGTGGGATTCTCCAGGAATTATGTTTTCATACCAACAGTGACACCACGCAGGCCGTTGCAGCTGCTCTGAGTTTATAACTGCAGGATTGAGACAGGAAGCGAAGGAAGCACAAACATGTTGAGACATAAAGTGGTTGTGCATTGCGTGTACAAAATTAGATTTTATCACAGCGTGAAAATAGTGTGGAATTTTCCACGCAGGTTAAAAGTAATGTGTAGTAAAAAAACATTTCTGTCTCCTCAGGGTTTGAGCTGCAGTTCCGCCTGGGTCCCAGCCTGCAGGGGAGGAGGGTTATGGTCCACACCAACTACCCGCTAGAAGGACAGAAGTTTGACCGAAACAACTTTCGTGTTTTGGCTTGGAGCTACCCAACAGGAAGAGAGGATGACTCGGATAAGTACTGCTCTCTGGAGCTCAAGATCGCTGGCTCCTATCAGTACTACTTTGGATATGCGTAAGACTCTCCTTACAATGGTTTCCTGCATTTCATGACTTCAGAGTTTAGTTATTTTGTAGTTATTGAATTTAGGAATATGTAACAATGATATAAATGCAGATGACATCACTTGTCATAATCACCTTGATAATTAAAGTGAAGTATAACATAATTCATCACTAATTCCAACATTTGTGACATTTTAATTTCAGCCTGGTTTCTAAACAATCGGTGCAGTAAGTTGTTTCGAACATGCAACCCATTAATCTGGTGGCAGTTTAACATGTCTGGAAATAAACGGGTAGTTTCACTGTTAGAAGCTTTCCTCAGTCTCATGGCGTTCATTTAGGCTTCACTGACAAAAAGCTGTCAGTGATGCAGCCGGAGACTGTCATTTTAACTCATGTTTCCAAGTATTACGCCAGCATTTGGTGCTTAATTAACTTCCTCAATAACATCTGATCCGTGGGTCTATTTTCACCTGGTATTACAATAGGTGGTTGTTATGTAGATTGTGGCTACAGTTTGATCTCACTAAGCAACTTAGTTAGGTGAGGTGGCTGACTAGTTGCATCCCAGGTAAAGCAAATCAGTGCTGCTGTATGGACTAAATGTGTTTTTCCTCATTGCAGAGCTAACACCACTGCTACTAGCTGCAGCTTTATTTTTTAAGATGCTTTTTTTCCTTATCCGAATCAGTCTGCCAGACACAGAGTGCATGTTAATACCAGGTGTAAATTAGGCCTGCATGATGTATTGTTTCAGCAGCGCAATACGATGCAAAATGGGTGAGAAACAGGAGTGCGCAATTAACAGAGTATTAATCAAGAACACAGTTTTGACTTCCCCAAATTAAATTAACACGATTGACAATAATATTGACTGCTCAGAGAAAACATGCCATGTAGATAAAATTATTTGGTTTCATCTTGGGTAAATTTGTCATGAGAACCCCTAATTTCTCTCTATTCAAATTAGCCTTTGGTCACACTTCTTTTTGAGTTACTGTGTTGCGACAACTGAGCAGAAACTAGAAGCTTCTCTGTGCACAGCGGGGTGTTTAGGGAACATTGGTAAATTGTAGTGTCGGTTGATAAGCAGATGTTTAGCAGAGGAGGAGTTTTGGGTACAATTTTATTGATATTTTGCTTCCATGAGAAGCTCTGAATTCAGGTGAAGATGTTTTTAAGTGTCATTTTGATGCAAAAAAAATGTACATTAGCAGAAATGCAGCACATTATTGAAATGAAAGCAGTGCTCTATTTATATATCTCTTTAAGATTTAGTTTAACAATAAGTTCTTATCCTCTTATACAGCTCTCTTTATTATGAATTTATGCTGAATTTTACCTTTTTTCCCACAGAGACATTGAGCGGTCAGGAGGAGGCTACATCGTAGTCGATCCAGTCCTTCGTGTCGGAGCAGACAATCACGTCCTTCCGTTAGACTGCATCACCATCCAGACCTACCTGTCCAAATGTCTGGGCCACATGGATGACTGGCCAGATAGACTGAGAGTGGCCAAGGAGGCAGGTGGGTGTGATGTTACAGTCAGATTTGTTTCAGATGCTAACCTGTGTGGAGCCCACAGTTGCTTTATTTTAGTAGATGTATGCGCTCGTTCACATAAAGCATAAATGTTGCCATAAAACATTGATGTTGAGAGCTTCATTTCAGAAAGAAGAAAGGAGAAATGTAGGCTGTCTGAATTCAGAGACCTGTCCTGAACCTTGTACAGACGGCTGTTGTATTCTATTTTAGTCTTTGCCTTGAACTCTAAAGGCTGAACCCAAATGAATCTTTACCCTTGACTTGTGTGTGTGTACAGGTATTGCACCACACAGACACAGGGTTTTGTGTGATTACAGTAGAGTGTTAGTAGTTTAAAACAGAAAGGTGCGATGAGGCATTAATATAAAATTTGGATTTCTCTTCCAGGGTACAACATGATCCACTTCACTCCTCTGCAGACTCTAGGAGAGTCCAGGTCCTGTTACTCCTTAGCTGACCAGCTCACCTTCAACCCCGAGTTTAGTCCAAAGGGTCAAAGCTACAGCTGGGAGGATGTGGGGGCGCTGGTGGAGAAGCTGAGGACAGAGTGGAACATGCTGTGTATTACCGATGTGGTGTACAATCATACTGGTAAGTGCTTATAGTACGTATTTAATACCAACTCTGTAGATTTTCTTTTGCTGTTTCTCTACTTTGCCCTGTGGTGCTGGTTGTTTAGCATCTGTTTGCACACAGTTCCTTTTATTGCCTGTCCGCCAGGCACTTGCCCAGTTTTAGGTGGTTGGAGAAACCTTTTAAAATATATATATATATATATCATAATTAAAATCATATTATATAGGGCTGCAAGGTGGCTCGGTGGTGCGCACCGTTTCCTTGCAGCAAGAAGGTTGCCGGTCCTGGTGAGGACACCTGGGATCTTTCTCTGTGTTTAGTTTGCATGTTCTCCCCGTGCAGTGTGGGTTCTCTCCGTGTTCTCCGGTTTCCTCCCACACAGTCCAAAAACATGTTGAGGTTAATTGGTGATTCTAAATTGTCCGTAGGTGTGAATGTGAGTGTGCTTGGTTGTCTGTCTCTAAGTGTAGCCCTGTGATAGACTGGTGACCTGTCCAGTGTGTCCCCTGCCTTCACCCTGAGTCAGCTGGGATAGGCTCCTGACCCCCGCGACCCTAGTGAGGATTAAGCGGTGTATAGATAATGGATCGATTATATTATATACAATTTATAAAATTAATAAAGGTGTATATGAGGCTTCTCTTCAGAAAATAAGATGTTCATTTAAGGGCAGTTGCAGCAATTGTCTAGAATTTTACTTGCGATATGCAGGCTTCCTGTTTTTTTTAAATTGAACACAAAGTACATTGAATACATGTTCTATTGTTTGTAGTTTGTGATAGAGTTACCGTCTCTAAAGTGCTGAAGTCACTTGAGGTGACCTGAGCCAACAGGGTCAGAAGTCCATCAGCTTTTTCCTTCAGACTTCATTAATGTTCTCCTACAAAGACAGCATGTTTATGTTGGTCCGTCTGACAAGTTGGACATAAAAACTGATTCAAGCAAACTTTTTTGGATCCTTAAAGAAAGCTGGAGCCTTGAAATAAGTATACACAAAAAAAGATAAATATTGAAAGCACCACAGCTAACTTCACATCAAGGTTTCTTGTTTGATAGTGATACTGTTAAACTTCATGGACCAGATAAATGGGGGCAAAGCATGGCTACTTAAAGAAATGGTGGTGAAGAATAAACAAGGTGGGCATAAGTAACAACAATACTGATTTAGGTTCATCATCTTTGGAGCACATTATGAGTACCATATAATAGCTAATTCAATTTTTAAACCAGAATATTCAGCCTGAATAGAAACATATTAAAAAGTCAGCGTCATGATTGAGCTGACCTGTTTAAGACTGTCAAGCCAAATGTCTATATAGTAGTAGATGTAGCTGTGTGTGCAAGTGGATACACCTTTTACGTAATTTCCTCCAGACCGCTGTTGTCATCTCTCATCAAAATGTCACAAAAATACCATTTATAGTTCTCTGTCCACTCTCACTAGATAACTTTTTTTCCATTATGTGTCTCAATTGTTTACATCTTATTACAGGCAAAAAAACACACATTAAGGCAACACTGGGCAGAGAACAGTTTCAGATGTTTTCAGTGCAGCTTCAGCTTTATCTTGCAAAATGCCAAAGACATTTAAAACATTAACAATGGTTTACGTCTTTACAACTGCCCATTTCTGCCACATCAAACACACTGACTGCAAAACTCACTGTTCAGTTGCACATACAAAACATAACTCTGCATAAGATTGTGGTGGGTTTCATTCAGCTTTCAGTGTATTTTATGTCCTTATGTCTCTCTCTCTGTCTCTCTCAAACACACACACTGTCAAGTATGTACGTGTGTGAGGCGCATGCTAAACGAAGAACTGGTCTTACGTTAACAAAGAGTCCGCTGGCATTAAGCCATAAAACAGAGTTACTAGCCTTTAAAGAGGAACAGTGAGGGGGAGAAGGTGATCACGTAAATGAAGTGCTACACAAACCTTTAAATATGCTGAGCAGTTTTTATGAGAACAACTTGACATTATAGGCCTGTGACTGCTCCTCCGATCCATTTGTTATAAATAATATATAGTACATAACGTACTTTATGTGTGTACATGAAGCTGTTGTTTCCAATTTCAACTAAGAGGGAATTCAGCACAATCACATCACCAAAACATGAGACTGTTTTCTGAGCTCCCTTTAAGGAATAAGGACATTAATATCATCAGCAATAGAGGGCGACATTTTATGTATTATTATCTGTACCCCGAATTTTCCATGCAAGTTCAGTTCAGCTCAGTTTGTATAGCACCATTTTGCAACATATGGCATCTTAAGGTACTTCACATAGTAAGGTGAAGACCTTAAAGTATTTTATAATAGAGAAAAACTCACAAATTCAAATGATTTCCTTTGAGCAGCTTTTTGGTGACATTTAGAAGAAAAAAAAACTCCCTTTAATAGAAAGAAATTTCTGGCAGAACAAGGTTCAGAGTGGGCAGATGTCCTCCTCGAGTGGTTGAGGTGAGGAGAAAGGGAGAGAAAAGCAAAGAGAAACAGATAAACAATGCAACAATAAGGGGAAGTTTGAAGGTCAGTAACTGCAGATTAAAAATGTGCAGCTCTGGAGCCTGAGATACCTACAGAAAGGACAAAACATAAACTGTAGGAGAGACGACGTAAAGTTAATGACATGAGAAAAGCAAGCCTGTGTTTCAATCTTAAATCAGGTGATTGTACAGTTATAGTTACCAAGTGGGAGCCACAAAAAAACATGAACAGCAGCACACTACACACAGTACATGATCACAGGAGGCCAATATAGAAGAATAACAGCTTCAGTGACATATTATAGATGCGAACAGATAAATATCTCTACATATCTGGATTTACACTATTGTAATGTTTGTTAGGACAGGAGTTTATACAAGTCAGTGTGATAAGCTTGTGTTGGGTTCAGGGTGTTGATAGAAGTATATGACTTGGAATGTACAGTGGCAATCAGAATAATTCAACCTCCTTAACTTACAAGATGTGACAGAGTTTATTAATGTGCATGTGAATGGGGGACCATAATGTTGAGCTTTGCTAATGGTACTAAAGATAACAACTTCTCCACTAAGGCCCATGAGCAAAAACAGTCAACCTCTAAAGTTCAAACTTAATAATAATAATAATAATAATAATAATAACATAGTAATAGTAACATGCCCTGAGCTTTGCGACGCCCGATCAGTGGTTCTGGTACTTTGTCACAGCCTTCTTATGTCTCATCAGTTCAGTAATATTCTTTGGTTTCTGTCGTCTTTAAACCCCACCCAAGATATTCTGTGAGATTCAAATCTAGCAACTCCCACCTCCATCCTCCTCTACTGGGATAGTGTTCTTCTTTTATTTCTCTTAAAAAAAATAAATTAAAAAAATTAAATTCAATGAGCAGAAAACAGAGACTTAAGTCAGTTTTTGCAGATCTGTCCAAACAAAGCTAGACACGGGTTACAGATCTGGGAGTAATCTGATTTGAGGAACATTTCCACAATTAGACCATTTTTAACATCATCAGTGCTGCTCATACATGCTGTGATTACAAGCCACTTAGATTTTTGTAACTCTCTTTACACCAGGCTTCATAAAATGTCTTTAAGAAAGCAGTTAAATCAGAGCTACTGCCGGATTGATTAGTTCAATAAAAACAAACAAAAAAAAAAAAGCATGTTCACATCACCCCACTGCTTGCGTCACAACACTGGATACCTTTATGCTCCTGCAATAACTCTCAGCTCTTTTACCACCTTTGTTTTAAAAATTCCTCAGGTTTGCCAAAATATATCTGGGGGAGCTGCTTTCTGTTTTTATGGCCCTAAGCTCTGGAACAGCCTCCTTTTGGATCTTAGAACAGAAAACTCTCTTGGTACCTTTAAATTTGGCATAATTTTGTCAATTTTGTTCAGAATCGTTTTAATGTTTTTTTGTATTGTGACCTTAATTTTAGGTCTTGTTGCATTAAAAGGTGCTGTACAAAACTGTTGTCACTGTACCTTCTTATGTCAAACATGCAGCTGACCCATTGGTCCAAACAGTTTCGATTCAGTATCCTCCCTCCATAAAACAGACTGCCTGAGCTCTTCAGGGCTGTCAGTTTTTTGGTTTGTTTTGCACACCAAGAAGACTTAGATGTGCTTTTTGGCCAAGAACAGAGATGTGACTCTTTGCTGATTCTGTGCTCTTTTCACAGTCTGTACTGATGTTTTTGTTCCTGCCTTCATCAAGCCCTCCTGCGAGTCTTTTTTCCTAAAACTAAAACACTAGTATGAAGGTATACGGATGCAGCAGCTCTGTACTGTATGTGCTGTCTCATATTAGCACCGTGTGCTGCTTGATACCCCTCTACCCTACTCACCTCATCCTATCTCTCTCAGAAAAGGTCATGTTGTAAAATGAGCCTGATTAAAAGGTTAAATGCAGACCGAGTGGCTGATTTACTGTTTGACTCACTGTCACCTTATCAGTAGGTTTCTGCAAAGCTCTACAGAATTTAAATTCTCACTGAAAGCAACAGTAAATGTGTTCTATTATTAGCTATTTAAATAAGGCAGGAGTTTATAAAAGAAGTGCCATAAAGTGTAGTGGATTTTCAGCACTCATCATACATAATACAGATTAATTATCAGTTATTCTGTGTTTCTGTTTGTCTTTTCAGCTGCTAACAGTGAGTGGATAAAAGAACATCCAGAGTGTGGTTACAACCTGGTGAACTCTCCTCACCTGCGTCCAGCCTGGGTGTTGGACAGAGCTGTTTGGCATTTAACCACCAGAGTAGCAGAGGGACGCTACAAAGATAAAGGACTCCCGGCAGAGATTACCACTGAGAGCCATCTGAATGTGAGTGCAGGGCACAGCTGTACTCACTGAAATGAGCAGACGTGACACATCTCATGACTTGGCATTGCACGACTGCATCGTAGAGGACACATGACAACCAGTGGGATTTGTGGATCAAATGAAAGCATTCGTTAGTTTTGCTTACCGTTGGCATGTGGCAAAGACTGTAGCGCTGCAAGTGTAAAGAAAATGACACATAGAATGTTTTTTCTTTGTGCTATTTGAACACCAGGATGTCTCCTGTGCTGTGAAAAAATAACAATGGGACTTTGATAAGGCATTTTTTGCAGCCTTGTACCATGAAAGGTGCACATAGACTTGCAGATAGTGACATGAGTGATATTTACTAAAACAAGTAAAGCCTGGATAATATAAAATAAGTGTCACATCCTGAAAGGAATAACAAATAACAGAGAAATCATATTACTCAGCTCATCTGTTTTTCTTATTGACAGTGTTTTTGGACAAGAAAAGATACATTTATAAAGATTAGGATAAGATAAGATAAGCCAGGATACAATAAGAAAAGACAGGATAAAATCAGATAGGATGAGGTAAGATAAGATAAGATAGGATGATAAGATAAGATAATAAGATAGGATAGGATAAGATAAAATGATAAGACAAGGTAACATCACATCAGATAAGTCTTAATTAATCCCACATGGGGAAATTTGCTGTGGTACAGTAGAAAAGGGATTAATGCAAAACATTGCAGGGAAAATAAACAAGACATAAACTAGAAATATTCATGAGTATTCTTGATATTGTATATGTTCTTCTATGCAGAAATTCAGATGTTTTCCTTTTTCTTTTGAAAATCACAACATTGCATATAAGTAGAACGACTCTGCTTTTGTTAGAAGTAATGCATGTTTTCAGTTGGATTCCAGACTACTTCACACTGTAAGCACAATAAAAAAATCACAGTAACACAGCTGTTACAGCTGACTGTTTGCTTATTTTATAATTTATGGTGTTTAATGCCGTTTTTCAACACAAGTTTGCAGACCGTATAAGCTTCAGTAAGAAAGGGCTGTTTAATGATAGTAATGTTTTGTGTGTTTTCTCTCTGTGTGTATCAGGCCATGCGCAAAGTGTTGTGGGAGGATGTGTATCCTCACATCAAACTATGGGAGTTCTACCAGGTCAACGTGGACAGCGCTGTGGAGCAGTTCAAACTCCTGCTGCAAAATGGTGCGTAGATCAGTGAAGATGGAAAGTATTACTCCAGAACAATGTGAAATCTATGGAAAGCTGCAATAGCTTCAACTTGAATGTAAACACAGAGCCTAATAAACTGTACAGTCCCTGAGACTGAGTGTGTAAAATGGAATAAAGCTGAAGCATAAAAATTCACGACATACACATAACACCTACATTGATTCAAATAGAGGCAAATTTGTTCTGCCAGATGTTCATAAGACAGAAAACTGAAAGATGTGTCTCAAAACTAACATATCAACCAAGGTTCATATGCATTATGTTGATAGATACCTTTTTCTGATGTGTCAAAGGAATTCAAAATGGACTGCCAACCTTGCAATAAAATTGTCTGTTTCCTATCAAATTAGTGTGGATTCAGTCAGCAGTTCTGTGCTTATGTAGAAACATTTATTAGACATTGCATAACCTTTGTGTTTTTGTGTTTTTAGGCACCAAGCCAGACCATAGTAAGACTGGAGGGAAGAAAGGCCTGAAGATCACACAGGACCCACATTATCGTCGTTTTGGTAACACAGTGGACATGGACTCTGCTCTGGAGACATTTGTGCCTCACAGGTGAGACTCAAAACCCACAGAGGTGTTTCTGTTATTGGTAGGAATGTCCACATCAGATTTTTTTGGCCTTTATCCCTATCACAGTCCTTGATACTTGCCCTAAATGCTGATTAAACAAACATGTATTTGGCTCACTAACGTAAGTGTGCCAAATACAAAGCACACACTGTAAATTTTACTGTTGTATTCACTGAAACGCTGCAGTGTAGGTGCTTTATTTAAACTGATACAGATCCATTAAAATACCTCTGGACTGGACTGACTCCTGATATTATTTTTTTTTCTGTGTGAAGTGATACAGGTTTTAGTGATTCATAGCTGTTTTAAGCTTAGTTTTGGTTTCAAAAAAGATTATTAGAGAACATTCATTTAAACACTTCTAAGATGTTTTCTTTTGGTTGATTCACATGATTAACCGACAACGCCAGTATTTCATTGCCAACTGGTTCAGGTAAAGCGTAATTGAGGATTTTTGATTGATAAATCCCTTAAAGTAGGTTGGGCTTTCAGGTGTCTTCTATTTTTAAAATCTGAAATGTCCAAAACAGAAAACACTGAAAACTACTTGAAGGTTGACACCACTGACATGACAAGACAGTAAAGAGATCCCAGCATAATAGACATTGAAATGTTCGAGGTGTGTTCCAGATATTGAAAATTACATCTTTTAAGTAGGAAGCTTTGTAGTTGACATTCCTGTGTCCACCAGTCCAAATCCTAAACACGTTCAATGGCACAGACAGTTATGAGTAATCTAATTTGTAATCAGAAGCTTCTAATTCGTAATCCTGACATGGCAGGCCTGTCTTGCACTATTCCTGTGTACAGTTATTCACAACATGTATGTTCTTAGCAGCTGGCAGAATGAGGAGTAGGATTAGTTAATGTTTCATGTTACTCCTCTCCGTAGCTCCTCCCCACAGCACATCGAGGACTGCTGTGGTTGGCTGAAACAGAAACTGAACGAGCTGAATGAAGAACAGCATCACATCATGCACCAGCATCAGGAGCAGGTAGGGTGAAGTGTAACACAACACCAAGCTCTTAAAAAGAATGCAACAGAGCAGCAATATATGACCGAGCATGAAAGGACGACATGTCTGAGAAGCGTCATGCGAATGCACACGGGAGCCAGACGTGTTGGTATGGTATGGTGGAATCAGAGAGGAGATGCTGATATCGATACTGGAAATGTCAAAATGTCTTGTGTAATTTATACCAAAGGCTCACACCTATTTAGTTATTCTGACTTCATAAATGTTGGATGTTAAAACATAGTTTATGCTGCATATAGTGTGGAACATACAGCTCATCATTTTAAATCATGTTCTCCTTCTTCGTCCCATCAGGCCACCAACTGTATTGTGGGAAACGTAGTGTATGAACGTCTGGCCAACCACGGCCCCAAACTGGGTCCTGTTACCAAGAAGGACCCTTTGGTCACCAGGTAATGGATTTTAAAGATGTGGATTTAGTGAGAAAGTAAAAACAATGGAGTAGAGAGATGAGAGGGAAAGATGATGTGTCAGATTTACTACAAATGTGAGAGAGGATCAAAAAGTTGAGAGACTGTGTCAATAAAAATCAAAAACTGTACCTGGTTTAAATTCAACCACCATGCCTGTCAAAGTAGTTTCCTTGTGCAGCAATAAAGCAACACTTCTAATGTTCCCAGTAAGGCCTGTTAGGAAGACATGTTCATCTCCATCAGCAAAGACGTCCTGAATCTCCAAAACTTTGTCAAAACGGCAACCCCTCAACTCCCTTCCTCACAGGGAGCCAACTCCAGCTTGTAGGCTGAGTGGAGAGCGACGATTGTGTTGTTGTGGCCATAAAACTTGTGCATAATGACCGTACTGTGAGCAGACACTCAGAGCACATGCAGTTACACCAGAACTTTCTGTCAACAGTACTGGGTGACTAATTGCCAGTGCACAACCACGTCAAGTCTTTTCCACTGTGAAAACTGACATTTCCTCGCCCAAGTGTAGCCACAGACTTACCTCTTGTCAACAGTGATGATCTTCAACATGCATGTTGAGCACCCCGGCTGCTAACTGACTCAGAATGTGACATGTTCTTCTGTGCTGCACTTTTGACAAATTACGAATGGACACCTACCAGTGGTCAGACCCAGGACTGGTGTTGATGACAGATAGATGACTCTTGAGAGTGACTGCTCGCACATGTTGCCCTCCCACATCTTTTTGATTGGATCTTGTATAAGATGCATGTTTTCTGATTAAATCTGCTCAGTAAAATCAAAATTAAATCAAGTTTTAGCCTTGAAGTATGGATGTGCTCTGTTGATTTCATTGCAGTCTACATGTTGATTTTTTTTTTTTTATTTATGCCTTTAAATGAAAAAAAAAAACTCATTTAGATTTAAAATTAGTTCATTCTCTTGGGAGTATGTTCTCAGTGAATTTCATGCTTGATATTTGAAAAACAATGTTCATTAGAAAGCAGGACTAAAGAAGTCCTACCTCCCGTGTAAATATCAGAACAAATCACCAACCCTCTAACATCAACAGCCTTCTTCTCTGTTGTGAAATGTGAGAGTTGACACAGACAATAATACCAGATATATCATAACGCAGGTATAAATGGCAACTGAAACTATCCGTACGACAGGGATATGAGGATCACGACAATGCCAGGGAGGTATGAATGGAAGCTGTTTGCTGGTGGATCTCATCGTTTTCATTTTTCTGTCTCAGGTATTTCACTTTCCCGTATCAGGACATGACTCTGGAGCAGGAGCTGCAGCTGCTCGATCAGCCGGACAAGACGTCGCACTTCCTGGCTCACAACGGTTGGGTGATGGGCGATGATCCGCTGCGCAACTTTGCTGAACCAGGTATAAATACAAAGCAACACCTTGGCACAAAAGCAGTACAGACAAAGGGATAAATATTGAATGCATTGCTGCGGTATAATTTCATTTGGAGTTATTTGTAATATGGATTATTGTATCAGTAGTGACGTGCATCTTTGGTCTTCGTAGGCTCCAACGTTTACCTGCGTCGGGAGCTGATCTGCTGGGGTGACAGTGTCAAACTCCGCTATGGCAAAGGACCAGAGGACTGTCCATACCTGTGGGCTCATATGCAGAAATATACTGAAATCACTGCCCAGCATTTCCATGGAGTCAGACTGGACAACTGCCACTCTACACCGTTACATGTTGCTGAGGTAACGTCACAAATTATCCTGGTATCATACAGTTAAGTAAAGTGGACTCAGTCAATTACAGTGCAATCCAGCACAGCACCTCTGCTGTGCATACTGCATTTAGAATTATTAATAGCTGTTAATCACCATTTTTGCTGCTCTAACTTCTTGTAACTTTTAAATTTAGCTGAACATTTTTGCTCTTAAATCTAGTGGATGCAGTGAATGTATGTTTTGTCCTTTTTCATCTCTCTAAAGCCCCACAATCAGATTTTTAATTTCCTCTGGCAGTTCTCTCCCATGTGAAGCCACCATACAGATATGCAGATAAACACAACCCATACAGCCAAACCTGAGAAGGTTCTGGTGTTCACGGGTCATTCACAGATGTACAGATGTATGTTTGTTTTAGCAATCACAGGTTTTCTAACTTGTGTATCACAGGTGTGTTAAATTTCACTTAATTTAATTTTACTTTCAGTAGAGTTCAAAGTATGTGTTTTCGATTGTTTATAAGAGGTAATACTTTACACTTCAACTAAGAAATTACACAATTATTGATACAATCTTGAATTATTTGACATTAAGGTATTATTACACACACTTCTGTTGTATAATGTATGCTGGAACCTCACCCAACTATACCGACAGTTGTGGTGAAGGGTGAGTTTAGACGTACTGTGTAAACAGAGAGAAGACACTGGCTGATGTAGTGTCCTTATCCCTGTTCTTTTATGGTATTTAGAGCGAGATAAGAGAAGTTCTGATGTCACTAGTCTGGTTTTATGTGGGTGCATTCCTGTTAACAGCAGCTTCTTCTTCTCTCCCTGTCTGTGCTGCTGTTGTATTGTCTCGTCCAGGCCATGTTAAACGCAGCCAGAGTGGTCAGACCCAATCTGTATGTGATAGCTGAACTCTTTACAGGCAGCGAGCTCATTGACAATGTGTTTGTTAACCGGCTGGGAATTAGCAGCCTTATACGAGGTACACAACTCATGCACAACCTAACTTTATGTCTTTGTCTCTCTCTTTTCTTTTCACTGCATTGTTCTGCATTTTACCTCTCCACACCCAAACATCCCCTCTTTACCTACTTTATTACTCTCACTCTCTGTGACTACATGACTGCATGTTGTGTTTACTTTGAGGCCTGCTATCACTAACCAACTATATCCCCTTCACATTAATTCTCCTCCTCCTCTTTCTTCCTCTCTCCAAACTTTATTTTTCTTTTTTTGTGCTTGCCATGTACCTCTCCCTCCCTACACTGTCCTCTTGCACTGGTTTTGGTGTGTTGCCATGCTGTGGTTGACCAGTTCATGCTGGATGTGGCCAGAAGAGTGTGTCCTAACCTGTATGTGGTGGCTGAGCTATTCACCGGCAGCGAGGAGCTGGATAATATCTTTGTTACCAAGCTAGGAATCACATCACTCATACGAGGTACAGTACTGTATGTGTTTAATACACACGTGTTTGCACTAATTGATTAAAAGTTTTATATGATTTTTATATGTTCAAAGACAGAGACACACAGGGGTATTAAGTATATTAGCATCATCGCTCTCTATCATGATATATTTCTCAGTATTGGTAAATAAAATGCCAGAAGTCTAGTATAATATAGAATCTAAAAACAATGTCCACACATGCAGCCATGGATTGGAACTTTTCAACCGAGTCCATAAATGGGTGAATTATTACTGCAAAATTAAGGTCATCATTGAAGTTGTGGATAGAACTTTTGGGGCTGGGTATTTCAAAATACTTGTCCAAATACAATATTGCTATTTCTGTACTGACACTATTTTATAGAAAGAAAAAAAAAAACATGAAACTTTGCAGATGTTAAATACTGTTTAAGGAACTATGCAGGGGCCAACCTAAATACATTTGTTTAAAACCAAAGTACGCTAAGAAGCACAATTTAATTTAAAAACTATATTTATGTAATATGACTTGGTGTTCCAATATTATAAATTATAAGTTGTTGTGATATTCATGAAGATTTTTTAGAGATTCGATGTTTTATTAAGATTGTTGAGCTGATTTTATCATTATAAATGAACCAGTTTGTGTTAAATTATAAACAAATTCATTCTAGAAGTATCGTCACTGTTTTCTTAGACTTTCGCATCCCATTAGTTACTAAAGATAAATTTTGCTCTCAAAGACAAAGCATCTGCATGGCTCGATTAGAATGTGGCCAGAGCTGAGCTGCACAAAGCTTTCTGTGTGAACTCATCAACGGTTCTGCAGCATGTATTGGTTGGTGTTGTATTGTTTCCTCCCCTGTCTTACCAGCTTAACCTTCCCCCACTCACACTGTCCATAGAGGCCATGTCAGCTGGAGACAGCCATGAAGAAGGCCGGCTGGTGTATCGCTACGGAGGCGAGCCGGTAGGAGCTTTTGTTCAGCCCAGCCTCCGCCCACTGATTCCCTCCATCGCTCACGCCATGTTCCTCGATGTAACCCACGACAACGAGTGTCCCATCCAGGTGGGTGTCTCTTATTTTCAGCTGAAGATGGGTTTGGATGACTGATAACTGTTTGTTTCAGTGTGCGGGATCTTTTTATGTTTGAACAATTTAAGCTAAAACTGATATCAGTTGTAAAACTAGTGCTTTTTGATTGTTGTTTTCCAGCTCCGTTCAGCTTTGGACTCTCTGCCCAGTTCTGCTATTGTCTCTATGGCCTGCTGTGCTACTGGCTCCACCAGAGGATACGATGAATTAGTGCCACATCAGGTAATTTAAAAACAGCCACACAAACTATCTCCTCATCCAATACAGTTCTGCTCAGTAGTGTGTCTTTGTGCTGTTTAGACACAAATCAAAGTCCTTAATATTGGCCTATTTATTGTGAATATAAAGAAGTGTTCAGTTTTTTTGTTTTTTGTTTTGTTTATAAAGCTAGATGTAGAGGTGTCACATGAAGAGTGAGCTAACTAAGTCCAAGCACTGACCATTTATGCAACCAAAGAAGATTTGTTTTACCTTTAACCTGCTGGACCCAAACCCCAAACAGTTTCTGGGTGTTTTTTGCCTCTGTCACATTTTTAAGTCACTGTCATTTGTTACTGCAATATGTCCAATTTTGAACCAGCTTGCATTTTTTTAATTGATTACGTGTGTTTTATTCCCCTTATCAACCTGTTGCCTTCTCTCTGCTCTGTGTAAACACAGCCTGCAGTTCACCTGAAAAATCCCAGAATTTTTCTCGTGCGAGTGTTGGCTACAGCTGAGTCAGTCATGGCTTCTCAGCAGAATTTTTGTTTTTTTTTTACAGGATCTGGTGCAAACTGTTTATTTTTAGGACGTTTGTGAATGGGACCATTTAAATTGATCTGAATGTCATCAAAAGCAAAAACAGTTTCAGACATCTTTCCGAGTGTTACATCATCTAAGAAACTTCCAAACAATTTGAAACAAAATCTTCACCGTGACATAATTTCTCAGTTTGTATTTAGTTCGTTGTTTTTTCTTTCCAAATAGAATTATTCAAGTTATTTGGGGAAAAGTCCTTATATATTGCAGAAAAACAAAATATCGCATTGTCAGTTTTTCTGGTGTCATGCAGACCTACTATATACCTAGGGCAGGAAATAACACACACCTGCTCAGCTGCTTGCTTCCCTCTGTGTGTTTGTGTTGGTAGATCTCTGTGGTGAAAGAGGAGCGATTTTACCCCAAGTGGAACCCATCAGCAGCCCCGACCTCAACTGGTGAGGTTGGACCCCACACTGGTATCATTGCTGGAAAACTAGCACTTAACAAACTACACCAGGAACTGGCTGCTCAGGGATTCATGCAGGTACAGTATCATAATGAATGTATGTACACAGAACAAACAAAATGGCGGTTTCATGTCATTCTTCTACCTGCTTAAGTTGTTTCAAATACAAAACCCTGAAGTTGATTTCTCAAACTGCAGCACCTTTCCTAGAGAGCTTGTCCAACTTTAATCTCTAATCATCGTCCTCAGGTGTACGTCGACCAGGTGGATGCAGATATTGTTGCAATTACTCGTCACTGTCCCAGCACCCACCAGTCAGTGGTAGCAGTGAGCAGAACAGCCTTCTGGAACCCCAAAACCCACGAGTACGGCGTCAATGTGCCGCCCATGTTCATACCTGGTATGACGACAACATTATAACCGAGAACATGTATTTATAAATGTTCTATGCTATTTTCTCTTTACTACTTACCATTTCTGCATGGTTTGTTAGAAGAGTTTGTTTGCTAGATTTCCCAACAAAGTTATCCCAGTGCTGAGAACATTTCACCGTCTGTGTCTCCAGGGAAGATTGAGGAAGTGGTGTTGGAGGTGAGGACAGTGGAGCGCCAAGCTGGGAGTTATAAGAAGGATGACGGCTACATCAACGGGATGCCAGAATACACCGTGGAAATAAAAGAACATATACCGGTAAACACTGCTATGATCATTTTTAGGATCAATATTTTTCTGCGTATTAGTGGCACATCAATACAATATTTGTATGTTTGTAGTTGGAGGAGAGTACGGTGGTGAAGCAAGCTGGAGTGACATCTAAAGGTCCATCCGAGTTTGTGCAGGAAATCACCTTCCAGAAGTTGACGCCAGGCAGCGTCATCGCCTTCCGGTAACACACAAGCCTACACAAACTGCATCAGTGCAATTTGTGTCACACATGGTTCTTTCTATGGTTTATTAACAGCAGATTAATTAATATTGTGTGTTTTCTTGCTGCTCTCTTTCCTCCTGACAGAGTTAGTTTGGACCCCAAAGCCCAGAAGCTGGTGGGGATGCTGAGATATTATCTGTCCCAGTTCAGCCCAAAGTACAGGAGAGGCAGCCTGGCAGATGAAAACCCACCAGAAGCTCTGCAGAAACCCCTCACACAGTGAGTACACACGTTCACACAATGCTCATGCTAGTATTAATTTTTTTTTTTTACTGCCTTTTTCATTTTGGTGTATAGATTTCATCACTGATTTTGTACTGATTTTTTTCCATACGCACCTCCCCTTTGCATCTCTGCTCTCTGTAAATACAGCCTGCAGTCCAGCCCAGTTCAGCCAAAAAGTCTTATGATTTTTGAACTTTTTACAGAATCTGTTTTGTGCAAAATCTCTTTTTGAAAGAGATGCAGGAAAACGTGATTTTATCGAAAACTCACAAATTTAAACTTAGGTTTGGATCATCTTAGAGACAGAAACTCTTGTCACAGATCATTAATCTGTGAACTTTTAGACAGTTCCAAAGCTGATGATTCTGTCAGTTCTTGCTGTTTCTGGCTGAAACTTAAGTGATTTTTTAAAAAGATGACATGCCTTTCAAAATAACTGGCAGATTTTACAGTTCAGAGGGTTCAGCTGTTTCTGATCTGCAAACTTATCAACAAATAATGAGATGAGTTTTGGCGTAATTTTTTGGTAAATGTGTCCATAAAAAGCACAAGGCACCTTCTACATTTCAACAGGCTGCTGTTTGGATGTGCACACAGAAAATTCCATAAGATACAGAATATATATGATACTGTCAAACAATAAAGTATACAGCATACATGTACACTATGTGAGTATGGAAGTGTTTGTTTTAAACTTGTGTGTTTGTTTCATAGGTTGATGTCAAAGCTGACGTTGGCGGACTTAAACGTCTTGCTGTTTCGCTGTGACACAGAGGAACAGGAGGATGGTGGAGGCTGTTACAACATCCCAGGCTGGGAGAGTCTGAAATACGCAGGACTGCAAGGTTATTACACAGCAGCTTTACATTTTCTACTGTAAACTGTGGTTCACCAGCTGTACACACTGTCCTGAAAGCACAAAAATATTGTGCTGAAAAAGGATTGTTCAAGTAGTTGCTGTTGTGTCTCTGCAGGTCTGATATCAGTGTTGGCTGATATCCGTCCCAACAATGACCTGGGCCACCCGTTGTGTGCAAACCTCAGACAGGGAGACTGGCTCATCGATTTTGTCTCCAACAGACTGATAAACAGAGAAGGACCGCTGGCTCAGGTGAGGATTTAACAGCCTTAAAGGGGCAGTTCATGTAAATAGCAGACATTCCATTTCCAGAAGCAATGTTCAGTTACTCTGGATGATCCACTGAGCTGTTGTTCTGCTATATGTTCAGCTCGCCAAGGGAAAATGAAAGTAATTATAAAAAATAAATTGATGGTAATTGTTGCACCATAGTTTTATGCAATTTTACTAACTCGTAATTTTTCGGGCTAACAACATAACCGGCACAGGTCAACAAAGGAGGACTGAGGAGCTATGGAGGCTACGTAGATAGAAGAAGTTAATGTAAACAAAAGGAAGACGTCTGACTCAAAATTTAAAGACATTTGGCTTTAGCTTTATCAACAACAAATAAGTTCAAAATGCCTTATCTGCACTTACTGACCAGAAAATTGCATGTTGGAGTAGCAGCTCTAGACCAGACGTCTAAAACATGAACTTAAACTGTAATTTAATAAGATGTGCTTGGAACAAAACTCTGAACTTCTCGGTCGCACATCTGAAACCAAACAATTCTCAGGTCGGCAATAAGCAAAGTTTCTTGGAACAGCCTCAACCTGTTGAAGAACCAAAAACACCAAACAAAGAGACACAAAGGGAGCTGCTCACTTAAAGTCTGAGCCACACAGAGTGACAGTTTTCCTGAGTTTTTAAGCAGGCAGCATAATGATTGGTGCAGCCTGATTAGCGCAGAGCTAACGATCCAATCATTTAGAGCACGAGGCTTGCACATACCAATTTACGTACAGAACCGGACAAGTTTAGTCGTACAAAAACTGGAGAGGTAGCCCAACAGCTAGAATTTTTTTTTCCAGCAGACATTGTCTCTAACAGTTATCTGTTGTAGAGTAACTTTGTAATTTATGCAGTAAATAATCTTTTGTAAATTGTGTCTACAGGTGGGTCAGTGGTTGGCAGCCATGTTTAACCTCCTGAAACACATCCCACGTTACCTTGTTCCCTGTTACTTTGATGCCATCCTGGTGTCGATCTACACCACAGCCCTGGACGCAACTTACAAACTCATGTCAAGGTAAAGTCTGTTTGTCTGTCTGTGCGTTCATGACTTAGATTATTGAAATTTAGTTGCGTTTATGTGAAATTCTTATCTGCAGCTCACTTTGAAGGGCTGGCGTGAGTCAGTCAAGTGAAATTTTAAACAAGCACATTTCTTTCTGTCTGAAAATAGCTTCATCCAGAACGGCTCCAGCTTCGTCCGTCACCTGGCGCTGGGTTCAGTTCAGCTGTGTGGCGTCGGACGCTTCCCTGCTCTGCCTCCACTTTCTACACAACTGGACGGCGTCCCGTACCGCATCAGTCCAATCACAAGCCAGAAGGAGCAGTGCTGCGTCTCACTGGCAGCAGGTAGTCCAGCAACACACCCACCATATGTTGTCTTAGTAGATAAAGCTAAATAATTTGAGTGCTAGCAATTAGAATAGAACTACAAATTGGCCATATAGAGGACTACAAATGGACACTAGTTTACCGTTTTAACTGATAACCGGATATTTCTTCAGGTCTTCCTCATTTCTCTGCTGGGATTTTCCGTTGCTGGGGCAGAGACACTTTCATCGCTCTCAGAGGACTGATGATAATTCCTGGAAGACACATCGAGGCTCGGTACGTGTGCACATGCACATAATCTGAACTGTTTCTAATAACATACAAGTATTTTAGCAGTTGTGGGTTTGATTTTGTCTCATCTAAAGGCCTATAATTTTGAACTAATTTGTCAGCTGGTTTGTTATAAGCCTCCAAAAACGAACCTCTAAAATGAATCATTCTTTGTCTCCGCAGTAACATCATCCTGGCCTTTGCCGGGACTTTGCGTCACGGTTTGATCCCCAACCTGCTGGGAGAAGGTCGCTGTGCCAGATACAACTGCCGGGACGCTGTGTGGTGGTGGCTGCAGTGCATCCAGGTAGGAGGAGACACTGATTGTTCCTTAGAAATGAATGGGGAGCTGGATGGAAGTTGGGACGACAGGGGGTTAAGACAGGAGTTGTACAGTAACTTAAAATAGGTTTATTAAAGGAAGGGAGAGAAGAAGATGGCTGACTGCCACAAGCTGATATAGCTTAAATGGACTAGTCAGGGTCTTAATGCACAAGTGGTATGTTAAAGTAAGAAACCTTAGTCCTGAAATAACAACATTTTGCACCACAAAGTACACTTCATCTGCATCAATGTCATATCCATGACTACAAGACAGAGCGTAAATTAATACCACTTTAAACTGTATCCATACCTCTGCAGCAGATTTAATTAGCAGTCAGGAAAGACACAAGGGGACATGAATGCAGAGTTCAGGATGGAGGCCTATAAGCAGCAACTGATGCACCACTGATGCTGTGCTTGTCATGTATTTCTCTGCAGGACTACACTGTCCATGTTCCCCAAGGGCATGAAATCCTCCGCTGCCCCGTCACGCGCATGTACCCGACTGACGACTCTGAACCCTGCAAACCTGGAGAGGTGGTACGTAAACAGTCAACAAACAAGCTAGTGCAGAGCTAACCCATGGATGCTTTATAGGAACTGGACACTAGATCCCACCTGTGTACTAATTAATGTCACGCAAAATAAAACTTTATATGCTCCAGGGAAGTTTTACAAAACTCGATTTCATAGAAAATTTGTATGCAGACCTGTAAAAATGCATGTGGACAAGGAGGTCTGCAAACTTGACTGAGTTTGACCAGTTCTATGGAAGAATTGGGCAAAATTCCAGCAATTTTTTGTGAGAAGATTGTGAGAGGTGACCAGAAACATTCCCCTTAAGTTTAACAATTTAGAGGCAAAGTCACCAAATGCTGACAAAATGTATGCAAATTTCAGACACCCTGGGAATGTTGTAACTTTAAAAAAAAAAAAGAAAACTGAAATAAGTCACTGACTGCAAAATTATTCTGGTATTTCATATTCTGCAAAAAACATAAAAATCTGAGATGAGGAATGTTTACTAGAATTATTTGGCTAAGAAGTATGTAAACCTCCAACTTCATGTGACTGAGCCCCATCAGGCTTTTTTTAACACTGCCATTAACAGTTTCATGTTCCACTTTTAGATGCATCACACGCTGTTTTCACCCTCACAAATGTTTAAAATGTGTGTATTCATGCACAAAATACTTTATTTCTGTGTGTTTAGGAGCAGCCTCTGTATGACGTGATCCAGGAGGCTCTGCAGCGCCACCTGGAGGGAATTTCTTACAGAGAGAAAAATGCTGGACCCAAGATAGACATGAACATGAGAGATGAAGGTAGAACAAGCTGTGTGCGTTAAAATAGAGATACATTCAGAGTAATGACACCCAGTATGAGACAACAGTGGATGATGTGAAAGTTTTGCAGCTAGTGAGACAGTGTGACTGCCTCCTTTAAGACTAGATTTTAGTTTTAATATTTAGATAAGAAAAGGTAAACTTTGCCAGGGATATTCACATTACAGCAGCTAGACACAACTGAAGCATAGTTATGAACAAATCAAGAAACACCAAAGTACATAAAGATTACGGAGCCCGTCTGGTGACATCGATAAGAAAAAAAAAGAAAAAAAACCAACTCATTCCCACGCATGAGTAAATCATGGCCACGAGATATTAATGCGTGGGAACGACATAGTTAAATTGTGGCCTTGCATTACTAAAATGAAGAAACAAGAGAAGTAGTGGAGCAAATTTCACAGTGCGGTCATACCAGCTGTCGATAAAGGATAACGGGCGTACTTGCATGAAACATGGAGCATTTTGATTTGATTTGATTTGATTTTAACCTTGGAATGAACGACACCGATATCCTGCGATCTCTTGCGATGAAACACTGTGTGATAATTATGTCGATCCCACGCATTAATAACTCGTGGCCACGATTTACTAATGCGTGGGAACGAGTTATTTTTATTTCTTATCGATGTCACCAGACAGGCTCCATAAAAGATACAAATATAACAAAGACTATATACTGCTTTTGCTTTATGAAGTCATGCATCGTATGCAGCAGCAAATGTTAAATAATAGTTTTCTGGTTCTACATACATTACAGTATTTCTGACGTCCCACCTTTGTTTCCAGGGTTCAACGTGGTTGCTAAGGTGGATCATACCACAGGTTTCGTGACCGGAGGAAACCGCTTTAACTGCGGTACATGGATGGACAAAATGGGAGAAAGCGATAGAGCGAGGAACAAAGGCATGCCTGCTACTCCCAGGTAACAAACAGAAACGCAGTCAGCAGTCAGAAAGTCAACACAAAATTCCACTTTGCATTTTGTATCAGATGTTGAGTCTGTATCTGACTCAGTTCTCTATTAATGGCTATATATTAATTAAACAGAAAGTACAAAAATTGATTAACCTTTTAAGAAAAAAAACATTCTTCAATTCCAGCTTCCTAAACCGGAGGATTTCAGTGGTAGAAGAATTTTCATAAGTACAAATACCAATACATTATAAAACACTAAAATACTACAGTCCTGAACTTTAAAAAAATAAATAAATAAATAAATAAATATATATAAGTATTATTTTGTAACTATCCATTTAAAATAAATTTTTGTTCTTTTATGAACTCTTAGCTAATTTATTCCAGTGGTTCCCAGCCCAGGGCTCTGGCCCCTCCAGAGGGTCTCAGGACAAATGTGAGGGGATGATGAGTGAAGCAAAGAGCAGTTCTTTAATCCTCTGAACCCAAAGCAGTTTCTCTGGTGTCATTTTTTCACTGCAATATAAAGTCCTACACCTCTATGTACAGCAGAAGCAGGGCTAGAAGGAGAGAGAACCCACAGATGTCTTTTGTGCAGCATGACACGGATATAATGCTGTAAATTATTGACATGGAAAATAAATGAAGCACTTTTTTTTTTTGTATTTTAGAGGATTTGGTTTAAAACATTCATTTCTGACAATTTTTTTAAACAAGACATGTAAAATAAAGAGAGTCAGAGGGTTAAACTGCTAAACTGAGGAGACGTTTGGAGAGGAAATCACTCTCAGGTTCTCTTCAGTAAGGGTATTTGGGCATTTTTTGCTACTCGAGGATTTTCTGTTTCTCTTTGTCACATGATTGCAACTGAATCTTTGAATTTCATCCAGGGAATAAAGCAAAACATAACATTTGAAAACAGCTACTTTTGGCTCACAGAAATTGTGATGGGCAGATTTAAATTTTTTCAGATAGTTAATCAAATAATTGAGAGATTGGTCATTATTTAAAATGACTAGTGATGTGCAGACTAGTTTTTATTTATTTTTTTGTGACTCTTTTCTGTCCAGGGACGGAGCAGCAGTGGAGATAGTTGGTCTCAGTAAATCAGCAGTTCGCTGGGTGGTGGAGCTTCACGCCAAAGGACTGTTCCCTTATGACGGCGTTAAAGTGACCACAAATGGTATTAGACACTCACAATAACACAAACAACGAGGTTTCACTAATAATTTCAGATAAATAATTGTCTCCTGTCGTTGAGCCTGACTGCTGATAGTAAAACACTTGTGTTATGTTCCAGGTAATAAAGGGTTCATCTCATACTCCCAGTGGAACCAGCAGATCCAGCAGTGCTTTGAAGCAGCGTTCTGGGTGTCTGGGGAACCAAATGACCCCAACGAGAAGCACCCCGACCTGGTGCACAAGAAGGGAATCTATAAAGACAGCTACGGAGCCTCCAGTCCCTGGTGTGACTACCAGCTCAGACCCAACTTCACTATCGCCATGGTGGTGGTACGCAGAGCTGCACTCACTGTTTCCACTGCAGTTTGGCTTTTATTACCATCGGAGCAGGAACCAGGAGTAAATACATGTCTGTTGTGTTTGTGTGACAGGCTCCAGAGCTGTTCTCTGTGGAGAGAGCCTGGAAAGCTTTGGATGTGGCTGAGAAGAAATTACTGGGACCACTGGGAATGAAAACACTGGACCCCGAGTAATAAATCTTCTCAGATTCTTTTCAAACACGTTGAAAATCTAGTCTACACATCTCAGCTTTTAACTGTTCTTCAGCCTCAATGCTTGAAAGAGATTTTAGCAAGTTTGGCAGCAATGGTAGTGAAGAATCAGAAGTTTTTCTATTTGTAGAAGCAGAAATGGCAGAAGGAGCAGTTGTTCCTCTCATGCAACGCCTGGAGTTGTGCTGACTTTATATTGTGATCATATTTAATGACGTTTCTGTCAGATTTTTTATTTGACAGTATTTGTTTTGTTCCAGTGACATGGTGTACTGCGGTGTCTACGATAATGATCTGGACAATGACAACTACAACCTGTCAAAGGGCTTCAACTACCACCAAGGACCGGTGAGACACACACACACACACACACACTGTGCTGCTGTCGTGTGTTAGTGCAGATAAATAACAGGAGTTGTGGTTAGAAAGTTACAGTCACACATGGTTTAGTTTCAGGCACAGTGTTTGGTGGATCAGCCCACCCGTTTGGTCCTCAGAAAGTATTCACACATCTTTGCTTTCTGCAATAATTAAAGTATACATTTAACTTTCAATGAATAAAACTGGCTTCTGTGCTCATCAATCTGCATTTAGTATCCAGTAATGACAAAGGGAAAATATATGAAAAATGAAAAACTGAAATCTTTTGTTGACAAAAACACTAAATCTGATTTGCTGTGGCGCTCTACAGTCCAGTGATGGTTCTAGAACTGGACTGGAGTCCATCTGTGGCTGTCTGTGGTTTCACTTGTTGCCTGTTTCCTTTAGTATTTAAATATCTTTGTTTGTCATGATGTGTTTTACTTCCTGCCCTTGTGTTTTTCCCGCTCTTGGGATTGTTTTGATTGTTTTCTCCTGTAACCACACTTTTTTTGTGTATTTATTTGTATATTTTATCTTCTCTGTCAGTTCGTCTGAGTTCCACATACGCTGCTGGTTTGTGTTTAATTTATTTTTTTGTGCTTTTTAGCTCTTGGTTTTAGTCTCAGGATGCTCCATCAGTTTGTTGTTGCCTGTTTGTAGTCTGGAATCAGCCAGGAGCTACAGTTTTGTTTCCTTAAGCCGTGGTTATACTCCCTTGCAGAAGCGCACATTCAGCCGATGCGTGGTTGGTGTTAATGTAGTGCTTTTCTAGTCCGTGGAAGGACTCCATTCTGTACATGTGCAGTAGTTTGTATTCCCCACATGCACACTACTGCTGAGCATGCACACTATTACCCCTGTAGCGAAGCACAAATTTTAGCCATGTGGGGAGAATTTAACTGAATTTAATTCACACAGACTCTAGCAGATGCAGAAAGTATGTCCTGGCCTCATCCTGCCTGTCTCCTTGTTCTGCGTTGGGATCCCTGTACTACACCATTAGAGTGACAAACTGACTGGATTGAGCCCTTGTCTGTCCGTGTGTCCGTCCAAAATTACTGAATTTGACAAAATATTAGATTTGCCTTTAAGTGTCTGAAGATTCCTGCTAACAAACGTGTTTTTACATTTTCATTGTGGTTTATTGATGTGAAGATGACGGAATACTTTCTGAAGCTGCTCAGCCATCACATTTATTGACATGAAATTTTGTCCAAACATTCGTGTTCTCCAGAGGCTAAACACTCACCCTGACTTCTCTTCTAGGGCCACCACCAGCTTAACAGGTTTGATTTTCAGTGAAATATCTCCAAAAATTACTGGATGGATTGCCATTTACTTTGGTATATACTCAGCTTTCACCAGCAGCAAACAATAATCCAGAGAATAACAACAATCCGTAGTAATGCTCTACACAGCCACAGTGTTCATACACATTATGGTGTCACTGTGGTGCTGCTGGTTTTGGCATCTGTAGCCCCACAATGGTGGATGTGCTGGTTAATGGGTTACTCAAGTTTTGCCACTGGATTGAAGAGGTGAAAGCACTGCGCATTTTTGTGTTTATTTATTAGTTTGGGTTCTGCAGGGTGTCATGCGAGCTACTGTGTAGTGCATAAAGACTGAAAATGGACCCGTTTCTCATCAAGTTACTGTCACAAATGTGATGGGAGGCGTTCTGGCACATAAGGTGGTCCGTGTCAATAATGAAAAATGAATAAAAAAAATGTATGAGCTGTACAAGATGAGGTTTTCAAGACATCTGAACAAAAGGGATTCGCAGTAGCAGCACACCCATCATCTAAACATGAATCTCTCCTGTCTTTGTGTACAGGAGTGGCTGTGGCCAGTCGGCTACTTCCTTCGTGCTAAACTCTACTTTGCCAGGAAGCTGGGAGAGGAAACTTACACCAAGACAGCCATTCTGGTGAAAAATGTTCTGTCCCGACATTTTACTCACTTGGAGAGGTAAGACTGTCACCGCTCCACCTGCTCAGCATCACAGTCAGTTCTGTTACCAAGCAGGTTCTCACTTGTGATGAATTTAACTTGGTGTTTGTAAAAATGTAAAGAAGGATGAAATATTTTAAAAAGTTAGTCCATAAACAGGAAGTGATTCAGGACAAATGAGAAGTGTTGTGACTCTGATCAACAGCAGGTGTAGAAAATTCAAGGTTTCCTAAAAATAATAAAAGGACTACAAATATTTACAATGTGCAGGAATGTTCTGTTTAGTTCTTTTAGTGGTAAAATGAGTGGATTTGAATGTTTTAAATATGTTCATTGCCTCCCCACCTCCTACCCGTCCCCCTCCTCCTCCTCAGGTCTCCATGGAAGGGCCTGCCAGAGCTGACCAATGAGAACGGCCAGTACTGCTCATTCAGCTGTGAGACGCAGGCCTGGTCTCTGGCCACCATGCTGGAGGTCCTCTACGACCTGTAGAGGAGCTCCGACTCAGTCTGTGGATCACCAGCCACCTCCGACTCCTTCCCCTGTGATCTCAGTGGTTTCTGTGCTGCATTCGCGTGACTGACTCAGTGAATAGTTAGTCCTGTCATAGCATTTTAAGATTCAAGTCTCTGCACCAGCACCGTCTGTTATTAAAACACAACCTGCCACCGATCCAAGCACGGCACAGTCAATGTCAGAGTTTTTCGGTCGTCACTCTGGCCCGGTGATGTCGACATGGAGACTTTACGTGTTTCAAACTCTCCAAAGTGTCTCTTATCCGTCGAGGTGGTTCATGTTGGCCTCACTGACTGAATTTAAGGATGTTTTTCAGGTGGAATTCTCAGAAAATATGGTAGAGGTTAAGGAGTTGCTGACTAATCTCTTTGTTCACCTTTCATGTCCAGCAGCTGAGCTCACAAGCTGTATGAGAAGCTTAGAAATGTGGTGTTTCCAGCAGAATTCCACAGCTGAAAGCTAAAGTGTTGTAAAGGACGGACCTCATATTTCACCTTTCCCCCGGGTCATAAATGTAGCACGCTTCCAGGTTGAGCCATTATTCAAAAAGAAGTAGCGACCGCCGAACTGATATGATGTCTTCACTGTTTATTTTCCAGAGAATACACACAGCCACACATTTACTGTACACAATGATATCAAGAACACATGAGTGATCCATATCAAGACAGCGTTTAGTTAGTACATTGTCTGTTCTGAGGGAGTTAAATTCTGCGATAGGTTATTTATTACCGATTACATATCAACACCAGCCACTGTGCATCGAAGCACTTTGACCCCACAGCAGCTCGTCTAACAAAAAAGGGCAGAACTTACTTGTAGCTGATTTATAAACAATCAGAAAACAAGTCTTTTGTACTGAAAATGTAATTGTGTCCCTTCGTGCATTTAAATCCTACCTCTGACTGTCACAGCCTCCTGTGTCTGAAGTGACCTACAGTGAACTCCTGGTTATAGACTGATGAGAAGCTGCTGCAGCAGTGATGCACGGCTGCTTCAAGTCGATTCAGTCTGTAGCTGAACCCGCCTCATGCCTTGATAGATCTAACGTAAAACACATTTCCTGCCGATGGTCTTCCACGTCACTGCAGTTTCCCCACAAGCCTTATGATGTAGTTACACTTTCTGCTGCGGCATCGTTATACAGCTGTGTTTCCTGTTCTAAAGCCAGTTTTGTGCATGGACGTTGTTGTTAAGGTTTCTAAACTAGTGTGTTTCCACGTTGAATATCTCAGCACATGACCTCCACGTTGTAGATGTTACACACAGTGAACTTTTAACAAACACAGCAAACCTTTCTCTCCGAGAGAAGGAGCAGAAATACAACAGAATATAAATGAAATGTGTGCTAAGAAAAGTCTCTGTATTTGATCACTTTCAGCTTCACTGGTGCCATTTGTTCTGTGTTTTAAAACCTCTCGTCACATGACCTGGTAAACAGTGGTCAAGGATTTAGTGATTAACTGCTGTACACTTTGACGATGCATCATGTCGTAACGTCAACAAACATATCTGTCACGTCGTCTGCAATGTTGATGTTGTTTACTCGTAGCTGTAGACAAAGCAATGCTAATAAACTGTTACATGAGTTTGTTGTGTTTGTTGTGAGTATACATGACTTACACTATACGACAGAAGTCAGTAGTAAAGCGAGTTTAATAACACTCACTGTCAAATGATTCAAAATTGTATCACCTCATAGAAACATCCATCCATCATCTATACACCGCTTAATCCTCACTGGGGTCGTGGGCCACACTTAGAGACAGACAACCAAGCACACTCGCATTCACACCTACAGACAATTTAGAATCACCAATTAACCTCAACATGTTTTTGGACTGTGTGGGAAGAAGCCGGAGAACCTGGAGAGAACCCACTCTGCACTCGGAGAACATGCAAACTTCACACTGCAGCAATTAAGATAAACTCATTAAACACCAGTCATTGTACTGAAGACATCAGCTTCAGCCTAATGAAGAAAGCTTTTGATTTGTAATGATGAGCTGCAGGACCTTGTTTTCTAGAAAGTTAAAGGGGCTCTGCATCAGGCCTGTGTGTGTTTCTGTGTGTCAGCAGTAGGCCGACAGACTCAGCAGGTTGATGAAGAGCAGAGCTGACGAGGAAAACACCTGAAGAGACACAAAGAACCACATCAGCCTCTCAGCCAGTAAACGCAGCATCGACGTAGCTGATGGTCAGTACTCACTCCGGCTGCAGAGCTCCCAGTGCTGTCCAGTTTTAGAGAGCTGCTGTTGAGCCCAACCCAGAACATGGTGTAGTCCTGGACCAGAGTGGCACTGCGACGCCAACAGAGCGACAGATGTGTCGTAGAAGAACTCAACATTAGTAACATTATTATGTTAAATGCATCAGAAATATTAGTGCAGCAGTAAAGTAAAAAAAACATCATACAGTATTGTATTCTATAGGAAAGCTAACAGCGACAGTGGACTTTGTTCTGCAGAATGACTACTTATTATATGTCAATTTTACAGATAACTTTTACCTGACTTAACTTTTACAAATTACAGAATGTTGTACAGAAGAGGAATAGGGTCACTGTAAAATGTGCAAGTTCTGACTTTTTGTCTGTATTTTTAAAAATCAAATTCAGAATTAAATAAAAGGCATCAATTCTGAGCTTAAAGTCAGAAATAATAGTTTTGAAAAGTCGCCTAAATGTTTGATTTTCGACCGTTTTCTCAGAATTCGAAATTGAAATTCTTCCATCAGGTTTCACTCATTTCTAGAGCTTTGTTTTAATCCAATGTGGGCCACAAAGTAATCCCTTGTGAAAATCTTACTGAGTAACTAAAGTATATTTACTCACATGGTGTGACTTTACCTGAAGTAAATATCTCCATAGTTACTGCTGCTCGGTGCCTCCCAGGTCAGCTGGACTTTCTTCCTCTTGCCTCCTGATGCCTGACTGACAGTCGAGTTCTGCACATCGGAATATTTTCGTGACTTTTGCAATTAAACTCTAAACTATTGACACATATTTTTGATTCATTATTGTCAGATCACAATAAATTCTGCGGTGATGACACATTATTGATACTAATACCTGTGATAAAAGCACTGATACGCACCAAAAGTTCAACAACTACTGTGATTTTGTGAAACGGTAGACGTGCTCAAAATAGTACATGTGCTGACCTGCTAACATGTTTGATATAAATGTACAAGTTCTCTTTCACTATATGGAGGAACAGAGGAGATAAAAACCTGGTAACACAAATGATTCCTCCCTTTTCTGATGCATCATTGTGGGCAGCTGACTAGAATTAATGAATAGCTTCTGACTTTTGATTGGCCAACATCACCTTAGGGTTTTCTTTATATCACTTCATCCTCTGGACAGTGATTAATTTATACGGAAGTTTTAAAAAATACCCGCGTACATGCGGACAAGACTTTATTTGGAGAGAAATATTTATGTACATGTGCATATCTGTATTTCAGAAAGGTGCACAAATTCAAGTAAATGGTCATTTTACTGACTTTATAGAAAAGCTGCCGTCCCACCAGGTCCATTTTTGGCATCATATGCAGATGTTTTACCAGAACAGCTGGTTATTGCAATAGAGGGGATGTCAGATTAGCAGAGCCCATTAATCCTGTCACGACTGTTCACATTTATTTTTGGCCTTTTTATGCCTTTAATATAGAGACATGTAACTTTTCCCAGTGTTCAGGTTTTATATTCTGAATAGCACGAACACTGCTGTTTTACATTTTGCAATATGATTTTATATCAGACTCAACTACAGAATTTTAGCCTTCTCACACAAGACATCGTGGAGTTTATGATTTAATGGTTAGTGATTTATGTGCAACAAATGGCCCAAAACAGCTTCACACTGTAAACATGAGTCTGTCATTTGACCCTGCAGGCAGTTGAAGTGGAGCTTTTCCAGTTTAGTCAGGAACAAGCTGAATGTTTCCGTACCTCCATGTTTTTACAGTGCAGCGCAGTGATCAGGGTGGTGTTGATGTTGGTGAACCTTCCTACAGGCCAAAGCAGAGCTGGAAGCAGAAAATAAAGAGTTTCCATCACACAGGTGTTGACTGTAGACTTCCCATGATGCACTGTGCACCTCACCTCTGCTCTCCTTCACATAGCAATGCCACCAGTGCCTGTCGTTAACTTTTCTCTCCTGTAGTCTGTGTTTTCTTCTCTTTGCAGGTATCTCTGGCTGCACATTTCTGATCTGCAGGTACCGACTTCACCGTCCTCCCCGGTGCTTATTGTTCTGTTCTGCATTGTTTGTTTTCAATCTGCTATCCTTTTCTCTCACCGCTTCAACCTCAGTCCAGCCAGTCGAGGCAGACGTCTGTCCTCCCTGAGCCTGGTTCTGAGTTTTTTTTGTTCCTGCTGTCACCAAAGAGCTGCTCAACAGGAATCATTTGGATTTATTGGGTTTCTCTCTATAATGTACTCATGTAAGGTCTTTACTTTATTATGTGAAGTGCGCTGAGATGACTCATGCTGTGAACTGGCAGATTATAAATACGACAGAAGTGAATTGAACTGAGAAACCTTGCGACTGTCAGCCTTGTCACCCTGAGTTTTCTGATCAGTGTCTTGTCATATAATTTGGGAAAAAAGCACCCAAAGAATATTTAGCTTTTTAGCTGACACAGCTATTAATACCTGGACAGAAAGATCATTCTGCAAACTGAAACCTGTACCTGATCACCACGAAAACTACTTCTGTTGTATTAGCAGAAGGCAACACACCAAGATTACAAAATTACCACTACAGAATATTGCACTTTACATTTACAAGACTTCATTGTTCAAGTTTTTCTTCACCCTGTTGTGTTCTGCTCCTGGCCTGTAACAGGAAACCCTGGAACTCTGTGGAGCTGTTCTCCACCACCGCCAGCGTCACTGCAAGGAGAGGTGATTGGAGAGGTGAGAGGAGCGACGGATTTGTGGAAATATGACTCAGACTCAATGCAAAAATCTGCAGCAGACAACGGGACAACATAGATAAGTGGATGTTGTTGGGAAACAATAGAGAGGAGAACGTTTAACATTTCTCTGTTATGGAGGCGGGCTGCAAGGTGGTGCAGTTGGTAGCACTGTTGCCTCGCAGCAAGAAGGCTGCCGGTTTGCGTCCCGGTGGAGGCACCGGGATCTTTCTGCGTGGAGTTTGCATGTTCTCCCCGTGCAGCGTGGGTTCTCTCCGGGTTCTCCGGCTTCCTCCCACACAGTCCAAAAACATGTTGAGGTTAATTGGTGATTCGAAATTGTCCGTAGGTGTGAATGTGAGTGTGCTTGGTTGTCTGTCTCTAAGTGTAGCCCTGTGATAGACTGGTGACCTGTCCAGGGTGTCCCCTGCCTTCACCCTAAGTCAGCTGAGATGGGCTCCAGGCCCCCCGCGACCCTCGTGAGGATAAAGCGGTGTATAGATAATGGATGGATGTAAAGGAGGCTGTGAAACGGTGTGTGCTCCTTACAGAAAGGATCTTAGTTGCAGTCATCAGTTCACTAATGTGTGCTATAATGGAGAAGGATGCAGAGGTTTGAGGATGAGGCTGAGGTTAAAATGAGTTCCCCTAAACACGACCTTTGACCTCTGAACTGCTAGATAACACCACCCCTGAGACAGAAGTGGGGTCGGCGAGCGTTACAGCAGAGGGAGAATATGACGAAGGAAGTCAGAGTGTGAGGACCAGTGAAGAGAAAAAGAGAAGGAAGATTTGAAGAGATGGCTGAGAAAGAAGGAATACATGCAGCTGAAACCACAAGTTTACATACACTGTATAAAAAGACATAAAACCTTTGTTTTCCCTTCTTTTTTTGTTTTTAATTCGGCTTAACTTTTCCTGTTTTAGGTCAGTTAGGATCACCAAATGATTTCTATTTGATAAATGACAGAATAATGAGAGAGAGAGACTTCTGACTTTGAACAAAGTAAAAAAAAATCTCTAAAAAAAAATTTGTCTCCCATTATTCTGGCATTTAGCAAATAGAAACAATTTTGATAATCCTCACTGACCTAAAACAGGAAAAGTTTGGTCACATTTAATGCCAGATATTATCCACTGAACACCTCAAGTTGTTCACACCATATGATTTGTACGTTTTGCACATTCTCAAGTAAATAATTTGCACATTAATGCACACTGTAAATATTATGATTACTTTGTATTATTTAAAATTCCTTAGATTTGCTCCAGTTCCTGTTTATTTGACTTTCCTTTTAAATCTTTACATCCTTCTTTAACAATGATCTACTTGTCACTGTAATGCACCAAATCACCGAGTCCAGTTCCTCGTATATGAAAACCTATTTGACAATAAAACTGATCTTGATTATCGTGTGAATCAAAACCACACAAATGGCCGATAATATACAAAGTTAACAGATTATACGATTATTTATTATCTAAACATTTAATGTGTAGCTGGTTCACTGGCTTTAGATAAACCAATCATACCTAACAGTGTGACTGCTAAAGAACGCTGCTCCTCAGGGTTACCTGTAATGACGTCACCTGGCCTGTAGGTGGCACTAGAGGTGGACACTGTGAATGGTGGGCTGCTGGTAGAGGGGGTGAAGGGCGGGTGGATGGGCATCATGTTGCCACAGGAGACAGCCACCGAGCCGTTGGGGAAACAAACACACTCGTCCACAAACCAAACGCACAGCACTGCTAACATCACTTTTAGAGGCATCTGGAGCAGAGAGGAGGCAGCAGAGGCACGAGTCAGCCTCATACTGTGGACATGCAGGTGACATTGAAGTGGTGAAATTACATCGTGGACAAACTGTCACAAAGACACAATGAACACCTGAACTTAGAGAGAGATGTCAGTAGTGTGGAGAAACAAGGACCCAGCTGAAGTGAGACAGGCTCACGCTGATGAGCGTTGTAGAAAACAATAACATAAGAATTTCCCAAGAATGTAATAACTCCCAGAAATGCACATACAGAGGCCCAGAGACCTGCAGCCCCATCTGGCTTTTGTTGAGCTGAGGTCCCCTTTCTGCTGCTACTCTATAGTTCTGCTATTGTCAACAAATCCCATCTCAGTCTGTCTCTCGGTGGCTTTTAACTTCCTCAGGCTGTCGCTGGCTCTCAGTCTCAACCATTAGTCCAACTGAAGACGGAAAAACGAGCCTGAAACATACAGCTGCAACTTTAAAGCCTGTTTTTCTCCATCATTAGTAGGTGCGCTAATGATTCCTCCCAGCAGCGATGTACATGAAATTAAAATAATTAAACAGTATTTCTGTTCGCAATAGTGAAGGAAGTAAATATATAGAATATATATCATCCTTCTGCTCCAGTTCATTTCACAGAGAAGTATTGTACTTTTACCTTTTTCAGTCGGACACATTCAATGTTGGTCTTTCATTAAGAAAGCTAACAAATTTTTTTTTTTCCTTATTTTCTGATTTAATTAGTTGTTTATTTACATCTATAAAATGCTAGAAAATGGGGGAAAATGTTGATCATTGTTTCTGAAAGTCCTCAAATTTATTGTTTTGTCCAAAACTCAAGCAGTTTTGACTTACTGTCATATAAAGAAACACTTAAGAAAGAGAATTTAAACTTTTTTTTCTTAAACTACCGCTCAAACTGATTAATCAAAGCAGTTAACAAACAGTTTAATAATTGATAACTAAGTAAAAAATCATTTCTTGATATGAAGGAAAATACAAAATACTGACAGCACTGTTCTTAAGATCCGCTAAGCTAAAGCTACTTCAGTTAAGTTTTTGGTGGCATTTCAGTTACTTCAATAAAACACTTGATTACCTAAAAAAAAAATCATGTAAATTGGCCATTGAAGTGTCTATATAAAGTAATAAATAATGGGTACAGTAACTATTTAGTCAGATTTCTGATCAGCTTCAGTCAAAACGCTGCTTGGACCAACAATGTTAATTTTTCAAGCATTGATCCTCATTTAAACACACTCCGGCATCAAACTTAATCTGAGCTTTCTTCTGTGTTCTAAATGTCACCTCATATTTTCACAGCATGTTGAGGTGAGTCACCGACTGTCTAGTTGGTGGATATAAACATTTAAGAGGATAAGGTGCAGATCAAATGATCATGATGACGATTATAGTAACAACTGTTTGTCTTTTAATTTTCTGGGTAAATTTAGCAAATAATCAGTTCTTTAATCTGACAATTATGAAACCTCCCAGCAATATTATCAAAATGTTAGCACATTAAAAAAACAGGCTGTTTCCAATCTGTGAGAAACATCTGGAAATAAATGTAACCATGAACCATCTAACCTGATTTGATTTTAAAATATAATGAATCCTGTTGACATGGAAATGTGGATCTGACTGATCAGCTGTGATGTTTCTACTCACCTTCTGGAGATGTTGGCTGTTCCTGCAGACACATGCACAAGATTAGGGACCCTTTCAACAATAAAACCCTACAGTAAAATGACAGCTTAGTTGTTTCTAAATTTTAAAAAAACAAACTAACATAAATGTGATCACCTGCAGGTCTTCTTGTCAGCTGCCTGCCGCTCCTCTCTTCACACCTTTTTCTTCAGTTCAGGTGAGTCATTTGTGTGCGTTCATGTGTGTGATTTGGTTTCAGTGAAGAATCGTCCACTGGGATCCCACCCTGACAATGCTAGCCGTGCAGGGTAAGAGGGGCGAGCGTTCGAAACACAATGATATATTCTGACACTCTCACCAACGCAGCAGAGGTAACAGGTCATGTTTCGGACCTAATTGGTACCCACAGCTAAATGCTTCTTCGTGCTAATCAGCATGTACCATTGTGTCTCTCCTGTTTGGTTTCCATCTGTGGCTTAAGTTACCACGGTTAAGCTGGAAACAACTGAAATTTAAGCTTTTCACTTCTTTAGGGCTACACCTCGGTATTCAAAAGTTTCCCTCCTCATTCGTAAACCAGAGATGTTCTTCAGGAGGCAGTCTGGAGGTCAGTCCAGGTACAGCAATCAGACGTCAGACGCAAAACAAAAACAGCTGATCTTTTATTCTTTATGTGCATATACAGTACAAACAAAAACAACAGCAGCAGCTCTGTGGGCAATGTAACAACAGGTAAACAACGCTCTGGGAGAGGACGGTCCCGTGTACACAGTGTATTTGGTAGGTGAGAGTTTGGCCCCGACAGTTTTTTCGCTGGCAGCCATGTTGGTTCCAGCACCACACTCCTGCTCCACGCTGTGTTCGTGCTGTTGTTTGATTTTCAAGCCTGCAGCACCAGTGATTTGATTTTATTTAGTTGTTGTTGAACTGTCAAGTATGAAATGTCAGCAGGAATATAAACGGACATTTTCATTTTCCACTCGTCACAAATTTCATTTAGAGGAAAACTCTTCAGAAGAATGCGCCGGACTTCTCCTGAAGAAAAGTTTTAAAGGAACACGCCAACATTTAAAGGAATATGCTTGTAACAGCTTTCCCAGATCCAAACAAGAAGATTAATATCAGTTTGTCTTCTTCTAGCTCAGAAAAAGAAGAAAGGTGAACACTCTAACTTGCTGTCAGATCCTAAACAATACTGTCTCCATGTTGCAGATGTTTGCAGGAGTATTTCTTCTGAGTTTATTTAATACCTGCTTCATCAAACAGAAGCAGGATCCATATAAGCACTTTGGCAGCTGTTGATCAAGCACCAGCTCCAGGACATCTTGTGTTTCTTCTGTATCAATCAAGGGTCTTTTTTTCACTTTTGACAGATGTCTACCAGCTTCCCTCAACCTCTAATCTTTGTGCTACGCTAGGCTAAAACCATCCTAGTCATACATCAGGACAATAATACTGATACAGAAATTCTCATCTGATTCTGGGTACTGCACAGTTTGTTAAATCCAAAATGATTCTATAGATTCTGTAAGTCTGTTTTCAGGTAAATGTCCTCAGATGATGTCACTTGAGTCAGCGTCAACTGAGGCTAAAGACACAGAAAAGTTTGAAAAGCCAAAAAAAATATCTTGGTGCACAGAAAGAAATGCACCTCTGTTATCTCACATTAGCTGCTACAAGCATATCAAACGGCTGAATCTGAAACTGAACTGTTGCACTCATTGTGGAAAATGTTTTGTCAACGAAGAGCAATGAAAGAAATAGAAAAGATTGAGTTTGTTCCTTTCTTATCTGTCCGTTGTAAGTGTACCAACATTAATGGAGTGGAAGCCTGAATAAGTGGATTGTTCATTTAAAACATTAGATTTATTCAGACTCTAACAACATAGTTTTGTTGACACGTTGCTATGTGTACCATGCTTCCAGCTTGGTGTCTGTTCAAACTACATTTACTGCTTTACTTTTCTTTTTTTTTTTTAAAACTAAATATGTGGACGTTCTTTATCTGCTACATTTAAGTTCATTTTGAGTGCTGGATGCATTCAAAGGTTTCTGTTTTAGGAGAAGCGCTGCGTCAGTTTCTGTTTCTGTGTTGTGAAAAAAGAGCCACTGTGTCTAATGTGGCATAAAATAGTGTGTAGCTACACACCAGCATGGCAGCAGTAGGACCACCTGACCAAACACTTTGTATGGGTTTGTGTATGTATAGCAGGACAGGATTGGGTCGAGACAGAGGGGCTTCAGTCGCCTTGTTTTTTTTTTCCTCAGATCTAGTCTGTCCTGATCTGTTGCCACAGTGACAACAAAGCTGCCTCAGGGCTTTAGTGTGGCTTGGATGCACCTTCGTTAGCCCCTTAAGAAGAAGTGAGGGAATGGATAGATTATAGACGTTTTGGGGAAGTTACCTGCAGTGATGGACACGAAAACAGAGGGATGAAGAGAGGAATGGGAATAAAGAACTTATTGATAATTAAAAGACTGGTTTACTGCTTATATCTATTACAAAGAGTGTCCCAGTGTGTCCTAAAGTTCTTCTATCTTCACATTGTCTGGGGAGGAGGTGGTGGGTGAATAGATCTAGTAGCACTAACGTTAAATGGTTAATCCCTCCATGACATGGAACAGGGTTATGAATGTTGAAGGAAAGGGAAGTAATTCAGATTTGTTATCTTTAGTAGAGCTGATAGAACTACCTAAAAAGGTGGGAACAAGAGTAAAGGGATAACATTGATGAGTAGAACTTAATACAGTGACCACATGTTGACCTCTGACATCAGTGATAGGGTAACAGTAATAAGGGTTAATGTTGATGTCCTAAAGGCCTTACATTGCTAGCAGCAGGCTTTCGTGTAGCACCAATAAGAATGTAGTGTGAGCTTTGGTACCAGTGGTTGGTGTTGAGGTGAGAGGTTACAGTTAAGACTTCAGGGTCTTGGTGCCTTACAGGACTGGCAGCAGGCCTTTCTGTAGTACCAATGGGAGCACAGTTTCACCTTTAGGACCAAAGCGCAGTTGGCCGTTGGCTTGTCCTGGCAGGAGTCGTCTACTGCTACTGATGCTGCCGGAGGGGCGGCTGGATAAACACACAAAAGTCAGAACGATTCTGGTCCACTGAAACCATTAGAAAAACACTTTGACACAATGACGCATCTATAAGTTAATTTATCCCCTGCTGGGGGAGCTGAAAGTTTGCTGAAATGTTGCATCAGGGTTTGTTTTCGTACCTGGTGCTTCTGTTGGACAGCTTTGGATTTCACAGCTCTGTCTGGCTTCTGGCTTTAGGGCAGAGTTGCAGCTGTGGCCCCTGGTTACCAGCTCCTCCCCCTGGTAACACTTGACTTCTCGAACCTGGACGCCACTCCCACACGTCTTACTGCACTGAGGGAGCAAGACGGGAAATGACTTCTTAGTTTGTCTCTACATATTATTGGTGATCAGGACTACAAACTCTCAGTTCAAATACAGTTGGACCAACAAAACAAGATGATACACGCAATAAAAACAAATACTCTGAGACACTGTGCAGGTGAGAAGGCCAAGTGGTACCTGGAAGCTGCTTGATGTTTACCTGCATCATATTCCTAACAGGATTACAATCTACAGATTTGCTCATCGGGATGGTCCATCTACTATGTTGTTGGTCTATACATGCAATTATTCACATCTTTCCATATCTATCTGAATCAGGTCTCTTAGGACAGATGGTGCCACAAGCTGTGCATATTGTAACGCAAACTGAGGCAAATTATATTAGAATTGCACAAAAACTGACCTCACTTGACACTTTGAGACACTCTAAGCTCACTGTGGTTTTGTACTGGCCGGCTGTTCCATTAGTAGGGAGCTATAGAGTTACCTGGGACCAGGATGTGGTGAACCACTTGGAGCAGGGTCTCTGGAAGCAGGAGGAGCTGGTCTCTGGTTTTTTATTTTGGTCACAGCTGCTGTCTGGAAACTCTTTAAACACACCTCCTTCCAGGCCAGCACACACCACCTGACGCTGCCGCACACCTCGACCACAAGTAGCGTTACACTGAAACACAACAAACAAACAGAACTTCATGTAAGGTCATTGCATGTGAAATGATTACATTTTTTGAAGCAATTTCTGCTCAACCATCTTTGATTTGCCGGAGATTTTTTTGATGTTACTTTCCGGGATAATTTTTTTTTTTTTTTAAACTTCCCATCAACCCCCTTTTAATACATTTTTTGTACACTGAAATTTGAGATATGTTGTAAGGCCAATGTCTCAAGAACTATTAAAGATAAAAGCCTGAACTGTTATTTGTAGTCATGTTACTGATTTAGAATCAGCTCTCAGTTCTACTTGGATTACAACACGTTTTTGTGTGACAACTTGTCATACCTACTTCATCAATTATGAAAGTTTAACATAAAATACTTTTTTGTGATCAAGTATTTCATATTAAAAAATATTGTTTTGTATCATTGTGACATGCCACTACATGTGGTTCACAAAATATCACTAGTTAACTTCTGGATTATCAATGTTTTTTTCTTTAACTCACCCTTAATCAGAGACTATTTGATTTACTTGACGAATTTGCAGATTCTAAATCAGTGACATGATGAAAAATTATTGTGAAAATTTCATGCTTTTATCTTTAATAGTTCCTGAGATATTGTCACATAAACACAGCCTCTAATTTCAACATAAAGTAAAACTAAAAATCTTGGAAAGTTCTTGGCATATCATTCCAAAATTACCATTTTAAGTATCAATAGTTTATGATTTAAAAAAAGTTGTAAGCAAATCAGAGAAATCAGAGATGGTTGAGCAGAAGATCCCTAAAGATCTGAGATTGAATGAGATGGAATACTGTTATCTATATATATTATATTATATATATTACCTGTTGCCACTCCTGTTCAACCCAGTGGGGGGCGCAGTCTCTGTCACCACAGGGATAGATGGCCAGCGGGCGCAATGACTGGTCGCACTGCTCTTCTGACATCACGAGCCCACCTGATGAGCGGCAGGTGACCGCACGTACCATCCTCCCCTCCCCACACACACCTGAGCACTGCCACAACATACAGACATTCATGATTGAAATGCTACACACAAGAAACCATGACAAACACAAACACTGCACTGTTATTCTCTTTTGTACTGACATGTCATCGGAATTCATATTGAAACGAAAATGGCTACATAGTTCTGTAGGGCTGCTGTTACTGGTGTATTTAAATGCAGTTTTGTTCAGTGTTCATGTGCAGTAAACTGAAAAACTCACAGGTCCCCAATCAGAAACTGTCCATCGTCTGTCACAGGGCGGGCCTTCGCACTCCTGACTTTCTATTGGCTGAGAGGACTTGTTGCACAGCCTCATTTCCATTGAGCAACGAACCTCTCGAGTTCGGACGCCCCGAGAGCCACAACGTGCAGAGCACTAACACACACAGTGACACACAGAAACACACACACACTGTCTGCATTAATATTTACTGTAGAACAACTAACAAAAGTCACATGTTGTTTGTTACACTGGCACCAACATGAACCATAATTTACCTAATTAACAGCACATGAAGAACACGAGCAAGAAAGAAGTTACATATCAACATGCACAGTACGACTACTGCGAGTAAGTTTCATTTTCAGACTGTATGCTGTTCTGTTTGTAATTTTTGTCCTTTTTACTTCTGATGAATTGTAATTTAAAGGATCAAAATCATTTTTTTTCAAGCATGTCTTCAGATATTGTTTAGAGGCCCACTAAAATGTTTCTTCATTTCATGTTGGTCATTGAGAAATCCCTTGATGATGGACTTCTAGTGAAAGAAATGGGAGACAAAACCATCAGTCCTGGTTTTGTTTAAGTTGTTGTAAAAGGTTTGGCGGAAGCTTCTTGTTTAGTCAAATCAAGTTGACATCTTCTTCATGTCTGTATCAAAGAAGGGATGTGGCACTAAAAATGCTAGAACTTCGAAAGTTATTCACTTGATTTGTCCAGTTTGCTCCAGATAAACCTATGGGATCTTTAATGGTCAGTGTGGATACAATCACAGCAAGCAAAAGCCGTTTAAATGTTCAAATGAAAACCTTATTTTTGTTTTTAATAGAGACCTGAAGAATTGTGTACATGAACCCTGAAACTTCTTTCTTGGTCAATCACTGTCCTCTATTTGCAAAGATATGATTGAAGGTAAACTTAGAAGCACTGCACTGTGTCTTGCTATAGTACCTCAGACCACTCTGACACCTCCCACTGGGGTCCACAGCTCTGGCCGAGGCACACCTTTCTACTGGCCGGTTTGTGAAGGTCATGTGACAGACACAGTGAGTCATAGACGGAGGAGTCGAGACCAGGCGACAGCATCTTCCAGCAGCGTACCGTACGGTACTGAGCGCCCTCACCGCAGGTTCGTGAGCATTCGCTCCAACCACTGGTCTCCCATCTGAAGAGAAAGTGGTCAATTGCAGTTATTAAAATCTTGAGGAAAATGTGAAACACTTCCAGGGATATTTAGTAAATTAAACTTTTCCAGTCACATCAAGAGACATTCCTAAATGGATTGAATGAATGTATGATTGAAAAGGTTCTATGTGTAGGACTTAAATTTATTATATCATTGTAGCTGACATAATGCCAGTAAAGCTACAGTATGCTGTCCATGTTGGATTCAGTCCTTTAATCTTAGTAACATCAGGTCAGATATGTGGCAGTATGGGGCCGAGGATTTTTTGAATAGAGGTGATAAAACTGAAGGTGTGGTAGTCCTGAACTAATAGTAACTCATTATTTCAGTCCATTTTTAAACATTAAGGCCACTGATCCTTTGATGGTCTGGACTCTTCTCCACTAGAGCTTTTGCTTAAAGATGAGGTTATAGTCGATTAAAGGAAGCGTTCACTCTGTATGTTTAAAATCGACTACACAGATTCAGTGAGAGTCATCTGATTTTTTTGTTTTTTTTTTGGTTAATCATGACTTCTTTGCCATTTGCAAATCAAGCTGTATTAAACCCAGTGTGTATTTTGTTTCAGTTAAATCAGTTGGGACGGTACCGCGGAGGGCATTCTTTTCCTGTGCAGAACTCATGTGTGGGCTCTGGTCTTGTCAGAGAGTCACAGTAACTGTCATCCACTTCAGTACCATCATACCGGACACACAGGGCGTAGCTGGTGGTGATACCTACGAACACACACCCACAAACACACAACGTTAACATGGAGAACCTTGACATGTACAGAACTGTTTGTGCTGTTCTAGAAGAAAATGATGGTGAACAGCAACAAAAACACAATGTAATGAAAATACAACATAAACGAGCGCACTTCATTACGATGTAGATTCAATTGTAAATAGGTGTGGTTTACATTTTTCCCCATCAATATACACTGAGTAATCCACAACAACAAAGTGGAAACAAGTTTTTCAAATTTGTTTAAAAACAAAGAAGTGTTCACATCCTTATTTCAATATGTCATAGAAATCTCTTCGGCAGACTTATGAGAAAAATGTTTTTTTTTTTCTTCAAGGACCTGTCATTCTCCCTTCTATCTTGACTCTTCATACACCGTCCATGCTGCTGAGGACCACTGAGGAGCCTCCACCATGCTCCAGAGTGGGGATGGCATTATCGTGTGATCAGCAGTGTTAAACTGTGGTCTGATGTGTTCTGATTTGCACTTTTACCAGATGCCTACACTACCAGCCAATCAGACAAAAATGTTTTCCTTGGCTGCAGGAGAGTTACTTTCTCAAGCGGTGTTATCAGACAAAAATCTGAATAAATGTATTGTCATAAAGGTGGGCTTGGTGTACATGTGTTTACCTGTTGTACAGGTTGAGCTGCACGGTGCGTAAGCAGAAACTTTCCAGCGATACATGTCTGCCAGACTAATATCTGGGTCCAGACCCACATCAAAGTCATTGCTGGAGGGAAACAGAAACAGAGACAGTCAGGTAAATTTCTGAAACCTGAGAATTTCCAGTTCATTTTATGCAAACCCACTAATGTAACAATCCCTTAAATTACATTAAACCAGAGGGTAACATCTAGACCCACAGACAAGTCTCTGCAAAGTCATTAAAATAGTGTTTATAGAAGATCAAAATTAAGATTTATCTTAATGAAATATTCATAAACAACTTATATGAAGAGGTGTTTTTATAGATCAGAATCAAGAAATAAATGAATGATGATAAATGTTACACAATAAGCACTAAAGATTCACGCAGTTGAACATTACATGACATAAATGTGTAGTGAAATGTGCCTAACAGCATTCAGAGGTCTTCATGCAAGTATCTCTTCTACAGCTGCTGCCTCATACCTCTCTGTGTTGGCAGCTTGGACTGCTGACACCTGTTGCAGCTGTACTAAGATGGCAGTGTGTGTGCCAGTTTCTGTTTCTGCATGTGCAACAGAGTGTGTGTCAGTAGCTGTGAGCATGTCCGGGTGGATTTCCGACTGTGAGTCCGTGTGTCTTTCCGTGTCTGTGGCAGCCATTGTTTCCACATGTGTTTCTGCTTGTGAATCAGTGAGTGTGTGTTTGACTGTGTGAGTGTTAGACTGTGTCTGGTTGTAATGTAAATCCTCCAGTAGCACGTAGGAAGCATCATCTGGCAGAGCTGCAGAATGAACACTCTGACTACCTGTGGATGAACAAATACATGTCAGATTTTCAAAACGTTCCCAGAGACTGCCTGTGGAGTCAAACATTTTAGGTGTGTATGTTATTTTTATTTAGAAATGTCAATGCAAAAGAAACTTGGAAATTATGGAAAAAAAGCCCAATTTGTCTTTGCTACCTGGAAACGAGAGCACAAGCATGTTGTCATCAGTAGTGGAAGGTTCGTCAATTGAGTTGGAGGAGCTCTCTTAATGAAAAGAAGAACAACAAGAGAGAAAATGAGACAAACATTGTGGGTAGATGTTTACAGTACAGTATATAAATGGACAGACAATTCTGTTTAAAGTGACTAATAGTAGACAGTGTCTAAAAGCACTAGTTTGGGCTGTGTCAGTCCCAGTCTGTCAAACAGTTAGACCAGTTTAGAGCTGGACAGATGAATCCGCCATGATAATATACTGATCAAATTAGTTTATGATGAACTCGTATGTAAATTCTAAGACTTGTAGTCTGACATGTCAGACAGTAAATAAGGAGAAAGTGCTGTAAGGAAATATATGTTAGAGATAATTTAAAAACAGTGTCTGTATTACATAAAAGAGACATTATTCTTCAATATTCTTTAAAAAATACAAGAGGGGTCATTATCAAAATGCTTGTTTATGCTGTATGTTAATGAAAACAGAACATGTCACTATTACATTTTTAAGCTCAAAAGCCAACATCCAAAAATCCCCTATCAGCTATAATGTGCTTGGGTGTGAAATCAGAGTAGAGTGTGCTACAAAAACCCAAACAAGAGAGCCGGTTTCCCACAAAGAAACAGATATAATGTAGCTTTTTAAAATAATGTGTGCTTCATAATGTAACAGTTAACTAATCACCAAAATTATAATTGACTTGTCACCTTACTAATTAAGAAACTAATCATTTTCACACTGATGAGATTTGGGCAGTCATGGGATGCATGGAACAGTAAACAGGGTACAAAATGCGGTTAACCGTATTCAGTTCAAGTTTCAGAACAAAAACACACAGATTACCATTTCATGTAGTAAAAATAAGGATTATTAGCAAGATTACAATTTATAGAGACATTTTTAAATGACACTGTTTGTTGGCAGCTTCAGAAAAACAAGTAAAAACACCAGTTATAAGAAAATGTGTCACATACTGTAGCCAGATGGTGCTGGAGGTCCCTGCTCCTCCACATCATTGTGGGTAAATACATGGCTCGTGACATCAGCTGGTCTGTAGACCAAAATGGCCACTGGCGGTGGTGGGCTGGGTGTCCGGATCTCCCACACCACTTCCTCCTCCTCTTCTTCCTGCACCTGGGTGTTGTAGTGATGGATGCCTCTGCTGTGGTTCATCAAGCTGCTCTGATCCCCTCTGACATCCTCATTTACCTCGTTAAAGGTGAGGTTAAGATGGGCAGGGCCTGCGGTGATGCCTTCTGCAGCAGCGATGTCGTGAGACTTGAGGGGGATGGTGTACTCATAAGTGATGTGGGGGAGTTTCCCATTCAAGTTGTAGTACTGCACACACAGGGATAAAACGGTACTGACTTACTACTTCACACTGGAAAGACATGCAACCTTGTTTTAAAGTAAAAAATAATCCACATTGTTCTGCTCACAGAATAATTGTGTGCATGTATAGTTGTGCTACCATAACATTAAGGCCCTGCAGTGTGGGTCCCTGTGCGATGATGTATTCCAGCCCATCAGAGAACACATTGCTTGGACGTCGGTATTTGAACACTGTTCCCGCCACATGGAAGTTTTGAGGATTGTCAAACACAGTGTTTCCGTTGAAGAAGAAATGGCCCGCTTCATCAGACAGAGCTACATAGGAGAGGAAACATCAGGAGGTAAAACAGTGATATTCAAAACTGGGTTAGAATGAAAAACACATACCTACACAACAAAGATGTATCATTTCTATAACAGTGGTACCTGATGTATAGCTACAAGTTTTTGTTTTGGTCACATTACCAAGTTTCCCAGACTTAGGTTAGTTAGTTAATCATGTAGCAAAAAATGTAATATATAATTTTAGTACAAAAATATCCTAGAACCAGTGCTCCAGAGGTATTGTCTGTTACTTCATCGTCAGTATATTGACCTCACAGAAGTTGTAGGTTCTCACCCAGGATGTTCTCAGTCTTGTGCCTCTCAATGATCTGAATGTCTGAAGCTCCAGCTGGGACGTTGGTGATGAACACATAACCTGAGGACAAAAACACCCACTTTAAACCAATGATTGACCTGTCGTCAGGAAACACTGGAACAAAACTGTGCACAAAGTGAAAAGAGAGGCATTAAAATGGTTCAATATCCCAAAATGTGTATCTGTGTGACGCTGAGGTTAAAAGTTTGCATCATATCACTTTCATCTCAGCTTCTCCAGGGTCAGTTCACCTAAATTACACACAAACATATTTTCCACCGTACTTCTAGATTTAGAAATGCAGATAGTTAGTTTTTTAGACTACATTTGTGATGAGGTTTAGAGACTTGGCTACAAACACAGTATAAGACAAATTGAATTTTATTCTTGATTTGTTATATTGGGCTTAATATAGAAAGCTGGACAAAAGCAATCATAACAACTTGCATGTACAGGTACCACAAGGGTTAAGTGGAAAACAAGGTTTCCTGTGATGCCAGTAAACTGATGCTGATGGAGAATCTCTCCATGCTCAGCCTCATGGAAGAACCGAATTTGCACCTGACAATAAAAGACATATTGCAATATAACAATGTGAAGCTCTAGTATATTCATCCCACTAGTGTAGGGCATCCATGCAAAGACATTCTGCAAGAAACCTGCAAGTGAAATTTTGTGGGAGGCCTGCTTAACACAAAAATAACAGCTGACTTGTGGTTGAACCAGTTAACTCCACTGTAATCATAACAGCTCATGATTCACACTCATATGCACACCTGTCTACATGTGTGTTTGTGTGTGTGTTACCTAACTGTGTGAGTGCCTTCCTGTAGGATCCAGAGATGCGCTGGCATGATGTCCCGTTGCCTCCACATACACCACATCTGTCTACTGTCTTGCTGCTGTACAGCTCTCCATCACAACCTACAGGCTGCAGCAGAGGGGACATTAAACACACTTATCACATATCGGTTCTTAGTTATTTAGAGGCATCACTCATCCAGCTTTTCAATTAATCTCATTGACATTAGTGCTAATAAGAAACTGATTTTGAATAATTAAACACATTTGATATAAAATCCTACTTCTTAAAGCGAAAAATGAAATCACCACTTTTCCTGGTTGGATTACCTGACACATCCCCTCTATACAGACTCCGTGGTATTTAGTGTCACGACAGAAGGTACCATCATGGGCAGGAACTAGCAGCTGTCGCTCACCGCTGATAGTTGTACACTGGAGGTCACATGGCTTATTGGAGATGCTGATGTAATCAGCTACATGGGGAATTACATATTTAAGAAAGTGTTTACTTTACTGACATCACAATATAGGATTTCTGTGTGATGAAGTCTACAAAATTCAATTAGTTACATCTGGTTAGAATTTGGGATTGCACAAATGCATAGCTGCCTAATGCTGAAAATGGTAAATGAGGAAACATCTGCTGGACTCAGTAACACTACAACACTTCATACAAGACGATCACTACAATTATCAGAAGATGTCTCCCACATTCAAGAATGGATGACATGACAGATGTGAATTTCAATGTATATGGTCAGCTAACTGTAGACAGACAAACTAGAATTATACCTGGATAAAGGGGTATCCACTGGTAGTATCTTCTTCCAAAGGCTTTAGAGTTGAACTGGGAACACTGGTGCTGTTTGAAGCTGACACTGGGGCTGGGACAAGGCTGAAAAATGACACAGAGAGAAAGAGAAAGGATAGATGTAAATATTTCTGCTTTCAACTCATTTCTTTCAGTTAACTAATCAGTACAGAAACAGTATCAGTGTAGCATCATACCTGGTTCGGACAGAGCTGGTACTGTTTCGGGGAGCCAACACAATACGAGCTGTTTATGTTCTGGGTGGTTGACAGCCTTAAACAGAGACAGGACAGAATACAGTATAAAGCCTAAAATATGGTAAATACATGGTTTTACAAAGACTACACTAAAGATGCATAAAATAACATAGTATGTTGCCATCACATATACCTTGTACGTGTTTATTTTCCTTCATCGTGCCACCACGTACAAAGGAAAGGTGATATACCAAGCTAATTCTAATTCTTGCAACTTTATTTTCAGTCTTTTCTGCTCAAAAACTTAAGTCATGTTTTGTGTCAGGTCACGGTTTAACAGCCTGACTTCATTGATGGTTTCATTGCTGCGTATCGAGCAGCAGGGCAGCAGCTTGTTTGCGGACCACAACAGTGACTGAGCAGTCTGTAGAAGGGGCTATTCCTACAAACTACAAGGTACAAATGGGAAGACTGGAAACAACGACTTACTGAATGGCTTCATATGTAGGAAAACTATTTAAATCATATGCCATGGCCTTTACAGTCACCAGATCTTGGCACAACTGAGCACTTATGAAAGATTTTTCAGACGTAATAGACAGTGTCACAATATTTGACGAAAAAACTAGAACCAAAGTGTCTTAATGAGAGCAAGGGATCAAAGGGTCCTTAAGAAATAAACCCGGAAACTGAGGCTTATTGGATTTTTCAAACTTGGGTGAATAGAGGAAAAGGAAAATATATTACCATCCAGAGCCACTTTTTCCTGAAACCTTTCCTCTAGTATACAGTCCAAAACACCCACACAGCTTACACGACAACTCACCCATTGCTATTTCTTTGCAGAATAAACAGTGATTCAATGACATTTAGTGCTCATAATGAAAAGTGAGCTTGTTTCTGTAATAAGTAGCTAGGACGCTATGCGCAAACAGTACTTATATACACTTCTCAGACATTTGGCACAAATTCACACGTCACACTGAAAGTGCTTCAAGGACTGTTAATCTTTCCACATAACTGTCTCTCACTTCATATGCTGACTACTCTTACCATGTTTAGACTTAAAGCTGCACTAAATGTTTTTATGCCAGGTTGAAATTTAAATGTGTAATGTAAAAGTGAGTGACATTTATCACCCAACTCTGCATCTTCTGTCCAATTAATGGAGATTTTAAGACTCTTTTAGCTTCTTGTTTTGGTTTCACGGCCCACATCCGGCTTTTATCGACTTCCTTTCCCTCTGTTTACAGTGGAATAGCTCTTACTACCTGTTCAGCACCAAACAGACACAAACGTAGTGAACACAGAGGAGCATTCTGCAGCTAAAGACGCAGATATTTGTCCCCAGAGGGAATGGAAACCAAAACTAAAGGGCTAAATTAGCACAGAGAAATAAGCTAATGTTGCTCTTTATCTGGGCTGCAAAGTGGCTCGGTGGTTAGCTCCGTTGCCTCGCAGCAAGAAGGTCGCTAGTTTGCATCCCGGTGAGGACACCTGGGATCTTTCTGCGTGGAATTTACATGTTGTCATCATGCAGCGTGGGTTCTCTCCGGGTTCTCCGGCTTCCTCCCACACAGTCCAAAAACATGTTGAGGTTAATTGGTGATTCTAAATTGTCTGTAGGTGTGAATGTGAGTGTGCTTGATTGTCTGTCTCTAAGTGTGGCCCTGTGATAGACTGGTGACCTGTCCAGGGTGTCCCCTGACTTCACCCTGAGTCAGCTGGGATAGACTCCAGCCCCCCATGACCCTAATGAGGATTTGTATAGATAATGGATAATGTTCTTTACCTCTTGGATGTATAAATAGGGAACTATTTCATCTAATTTTTATTTTAACAGTTGCAAATGTTGGTAATACTGTACGTCAAAATGTGCTTTCAACTTAGTTTTTCCAAGTGGTTTAAAAAAACAAACAGCTACTGCAGCTTTAAAATCATATCTATGTTACGTATATTTGTCATGCCCATCAGAATATACTGAGAAAAACTACTACACTTTGGAAGGGTTGTCTTTCTTGGATATTTTGTTGTTGTTTTTTTGCATGCTTCTGATGAGCAGAAAAGTGTAAATATGGTTGCAAAATGTCTCCAATGACACAAAAAAAAGATATTGTCCTAAATCACAATATAATTACCATGTGATAAAAGGTAACGGACATGATGATGTAAGTGTGGCATCACAGGTGAAAACTCCTGCCACAATGACTTCTATTGCTGCTGTGTTTTCTACTGTAGTTGTGTAATCAGACTAGCAAATACATGCATTTGTATCTACAGAGGCAAAATGAAGTCTGATCAACATTAGCTGAACTGTGTGGCAGCAAAGGGAAAATCTTCACACACACACTGAAGGAAACACATCTTAAAGGTATAAGTAGTTCAAAAACAACATTTTGCAACATCAAGTAACATGTGTCTGCAAGAGCTGCACCAAGAGAAAGTTCCAAGAGTGCTGTAGTTATGGTTAACATGATTCTTATTCTGTGTGCGTTTGGAGGGACCTAGAGAACTCCAGCATGGAGTTAATGCATCTGTCTTTCATTACCATGTTAACTACCCCCAACACACACACACACACACACACACACCTCCTCAGTCTATCTATATGTGTCTCTCTTTCTTCAGCCCATCCTCCTACACTGTTTAGACAGTAAAGTAGGAGAGACAGCAGGAGGAGGTGAGCGGGAGGTCACTATGTGAGAGTGTCACATCTAATTGGTAGAAGGTGATGAGGGGAGGACAGGAGAGGAAGGAGAAGGGAGGTACAGGGAGGAGAGGAAGGGGGGGAGGAGAGGAAAAAAAATAAGCGGGGAGGAGAGACGTGGGGTTTAAAAATGGATAGAGGAGTAAAAGTGACAAACGAGACGAGAAAATAAGAAGGAGAGGAACAAAGAGAGGAGGAAGAAAGGGGGAGGATGGGGAAGAAGGGGAGAGACAGAGGGCCAACACTAAGGGCAGAGTGGTGTTAATCTTGGTTGACAGAAACTTCCGCCGGTCTGACAGGGGGAGGTCAAATGTAACAAGATGGCTACAAACACACACATTCTGTCAATGCTTTACCTAACTTCCCTCTGTATATGGACATGTCTTTGCTCACTGCTCACAGTTTTTGTAGTGTGTAAACCTGGTTAAAAAAAAAATATGCAGGATCTCTTTAGCACAGCTGTTTAAGTTCTTTCAAAAAAGAGCATAGTGTCATTTTAGCTTTTATTTTAGCCACCTCCTATGGCAGGGTAAGTATGTTGAGTATTAATGTAATTAAGGCAGAGTTTTTTTTTTTTAGACTAAAACAGTGTCAACAAATGAGGCAAGTGATGTTTTGGTAGCTTTTAATAGTCCTTATTTTTTAGTGTTTTATATTTATTTGTATCTTAAATTCTGATCTTTTCACTTTGTCCTGTTTTGCCTTGTTTGAATGTTTTACATTATTTTATTCATTTTTACAAATTAATTGCTTTTTGTGGTTATTTTTACTGCTGCCTGACTGTTAACGTACAGCTGAACAGTCACTTCCGGTTGTTGATCTGATCATCGTGCAGTCATGTCATTTAACTTTAATCATTTGCTTAAAGCTCCTCATAGAGTGACGGGATTGGTTAGAATCTGACATGACGGGAGATTTAAAGTTTTACACCCCAGATGAATAAACTGTTAAACACACAACTTTAACAGTGCAGTGAGTTTAGCAGCTGCTCTCAAGACTCATGCCGAGCTCAACTACAGCTTTTGACATATTTTTATTTAAAAAGTGTTTTATCTGGGGAATCAAGATATTTTTTTGGGTGTCAAGAGAATTACATTTTTTTCACAAGCACTCATGTTTTATAATACTTTCAGCATTACTGTATGTGAGCATTTCTATATACAGTACTTAGCTGACCCCATTTTAAATCCATTAAGTAAATAACACAAAAACAGCTATGCTTTATTAAAAAATGAAGCAGATTTTTGTCTCACTACACTGACAGGCCTACCATTACACTCATAAACTTAACATAATTCAAACATCAATTCAGCTATAAACAAGGACATTGTGTAAAAATGCCAAGAATATTGGGGGTGACGTATTATCAGACATTATGAATACTTCTGTTTCTCTGTTAAACTCCTGAAACTCACCACTATGTCAATTCTGTTCCATCTCCTGATTCCTGATTCAAACTTGTACCTGAGCTGTGATGATTTGAGCTACTACAGTCACATTCACAAATGCTCGCACCCTGAGATTATCGATGCAATTGTTTTTTAAAAAATCCAAATATTTAGAAGGAAGAGTACCATCAGAAATAATGTCGGTAGATATTTTTCTAACATGCTACCTCTGGATGAGACAGTGTCTTTCCTGACTCCTCACTCCTCCTCCACAGCTCCTGGAACATGAGGACCAACTGGACCACTCCCCCCACCACTGAAACACCTCCTCCTAGGAGAAAATATACAGTGCAATGGGTTTAGAAAAAGCAGGCAACGGTGTAAGATTTCAGGTTGCAGTTTGGGAGCTGGAGTTAAGGAGAGTTAATAAAACCGTGCTGGCTATTAACCAGCCTTCATGAACAGCTCAAAGAGGAGAAAAATAATGCTGCCACCACTGTGTTGGTTAAAGAACGTAGATGTTGTACTTAACCATCTTCAACTAAAGCTGAACAGAAGTGGTAGACAAGTAGCGACCCGTGAGCCTAATCAGGCTCTTCCACAGCAGTTTGGCCCCATTATCATAACTCAGGTTTTCCTTTTATAGTTTGCATCAAACATCAGTTTTAGACAACAAAACATACAAATAGGTGCCAGCCTAACAAAAATAACCTGCTACTAAAACATTAATAACAGCACTTGCAGCCCACCATAAATGAAGCTTGTCACTGCCATTATTAAGTCTTATTTTTCCCAAATTAAGTGTTTAAGGGGCTGCCGTTGCTCTGTTAGCCCTCACTTATCAGCGAAAAAACTACATTTGCATTCAGATATACTCCCCAAAGCAAATTTGAATTAAATAAAATCCACACCTATCCACAAATAACAAAAAGCTAGACAAGGACACAGACTACAAACTGTGTGATTTTACTACCTTTTTGCTCGGCTGTTTGACATTTTGACTTCCATGGCTGTGAGACTGTAGATGGACGTTACGCTGCTCCACCCTCCCTTCACTTCTGTCCTGACAGACACAGACACACACATCACACACAAACACATAAGCATGGAACACATTTACTGTGTAGATTTGGATGCACACATAAATAACGCCTTTGAAATCACCACGTGTGGTAAAATAACTTTTAGTCACAGCTAAGTACAGCTTTATATAACTTCATCTATATTTAACAGATCGAGTTGGTTGGTAACAAAAGAACATCTTTATATCCTCACTGTTTGGTTAACAAGCAAAGAAAATCAGCTTATTTACTACTTATTAAGGTTAAGCTGTTACCCTCTTATTAATAATTATTCTACAAGAAAAATGAATGCAAACCAAAGCAGACACGATACACAGGATTGTTTATGGAAGCAACCTGATGCTCTTCAGATGGACTCATTAAGCAACCTTACACTGATCCCCACAGCCCCGCATTGAGCTGTAAAAACAGATGGAAGAGGATTGGCAGGCATCAGAAGGATGTGATTTGCTTTAAGTCTCAGTTAAGTGGTATTTTTTAATCCTTCAACCAACAACCACATTCACACATCAAGGCTCAAAGTCCCGCTGCTGTGTTGTGTCAACAGGGTCCTAAACAAGTCCACACAAGCTCCTTACACTGTCAGATTACCCTCTGGCTAATTCAACACATAAACACACACACACACTGCCATACTGTGCGTCTTGTGAGCTGAAAATAGACAGGAATAGTTGCTGACTATCAAAGTTGTGGCGATCAAAGTGTTTTCGGATGACCGCGGATCAGGCAAAGAGAGCTAACTTTATGTTTGGTGGGATGATGCGTTTAAACGGCAGCAGCAGATTTCCTTAGTTTCAGTGAGTGAAAGACAGGCTGGAGATGACCTTTACAGCTCGGTAGGAGAGGTTTATATAGAAAAAGCATGTTTACACAGTTTCCAAAGCAGAGTTTTGAGGTTATGTGGGAATGAAGCACAGCAAAAGAAACTGACATGAAATGAGCCATTTATAACCATTTAAAAAGACTATTTTACATTAAATCCAGCTGCATGATTCTGAACAAGTTAGATACAAGTGCACAGCCAAGCCAATACCAACATGGCCTATATTAATAATATTATCAATATTATATTGTAAACTTAACTGGCATTTATGGACAGAAATGACAAATATGATATTTCTAAAGGAATTTAGAGACAGTCTCATCATTTACATGTTTTATTAGCAAAATATAAAGAATTTTATGAACAGTTTTCCTTGTGTTTAAGTTTAGAGAACTGATATTTGCTGATATATTGTTTCCAAACTTTTCATCAGCACCAGTGTTAGCTTAAGGGGAAAAAAATCACTCGAAGCTCCTTTGATCGACAAATAAATCAGTCCAGCGTGACAACATGAATACATGTGAGAACGTGTCTGTCTCTACAACTGAAATGTATTTAATATAAACAGTAATCACAGCTGTGACTTGCATGTAGTATGCATGAAGTTGAATTAAGCATTTCGTCTCTCCTCGTCTAAACAGGAAAAGTAACAGTTGCTATTCGAGCAGTAAAGCAAGTTATGTTACCAGAAAGTAAACCTTTAAATAGAAAGCATTACCTCACTGTTGCTATGGTGCATTACGTTTGTGTGTAATAATGTGCACTGTTGGAAGACAATGCCTTTCAATAGTCTGCCAAAATGCATATTAGATGTCATGCCAGTTGTTGTGGAGCTCCACAACTTTTTACTGCTGCCGTCACTTTTATGTGCAGTCGGCCTCATCCGCAAAGCTCAGCTTCACATCCAGGAATCTCTTACTATATAAGGTTTTTCCTTTTGCTGTCATCAATGAATGAAGCGAGTAATAAAACAGGAAAATGTGGGGTATTGGATCAGTTATCTCTGGGACAAGAAGGCTCCTTCCATTCGTGTGCATACATTTCAAGCAATGTTTGTGGCTCAGGGGATCTGTAAGCGCTGGTGGTTACCACAGCTGAGGGAAAGTGTCTGCAAACAATTGTTTGCAAAGACTTTGGTGATGCATCTGTTTAGAGTTTCAACCACGGGACCCCGAGACACCCTGTTATCCCATGTTTGCTTCTTTACGCTGCCTGACCAAAAGGCTTTTGCAGATCAGCCTGTCAGTCAGTTAATCGGTCATCTAGCCAACAGTGTAGCCAAATGGTCAGTCACCGATAACTGCTAACAAAACCTGTGTGCCGCCAGTTGCACAAGTGGACTGTAAAAATCTTTATATATTTAAGTTACAGTTAGATGAGCCTCAGTAGTGTCCAATGTAAGAGCGGGACTAAACAGCAAAGAAAGTTCCCATTTAAAAGTCTGAACTATACTGATTTTTACACTTGAACATTTCTAGATGGACTAAAGCATCCAAGAACTATTTTCATGAGTTCAGTGGTCAAGTTCAACAAAGCTGCTGTTTTCAGCAACACCATTATAACCAAACAGGCAAGTTGAATGGAGGGGAAGCAGCATAACACAAACTATTCCAGTGTGGTGGCTGAGATAAAGTGCATGTTACAATAGGGCATGTTCACTTCAAGTTCTGAGCAAATTTAGCAGCGTGGGATGTTACGGATGTTAACTCCTCAACGTTATAATTGAATTTCAATCTACCGAAACCCACCGACTTTAGCTACTGAGAGAAAACAAAGTTACAAAGACCCAGAAAACAACCATTTCACCAGCATCTCAAGTGGTTTGATTTCCAATTATTTGAAGCCCATTAAACAAAATATCATGAACGATAAAAACGTATGAACGGGTGGATTTAGGATGAGAAAATACAGACGACCTGAAGCAACGAAAAGAAGTAATAGATCTAATAAAAAGGGGAAGATTATTCCATGATCGGATGGAGTCTTGTATTGAAACAACCTGAATACAACTTCAATGGACAAAGAAAAAGGGATGTTGCATATGTGTGCGATGATATGAAGATCTAGACCAAAAGCTGTTTAACATAAGAAGTACAGTACATGAAGCTTATGAAAATGCCTTCTGAATTTAGGTTGCAACCAATTAGGTGATTCATAACAGAGGCAATGGTGACTTCTGTAAACAAATCTGCATAAGGAGTTAAATACAACATGAATAAGATGAGTGTAAGATGCATGACAACATATTCAATAATGGGAAGGATCAGCTGAGAAACTATTCTTGGTCTGACTTGTAATATAAAACAATTAATTGAGCAATACAGTGAACTCAGACAACCTTTTTTTTAAATCAACGTGGTGCTTAAAGGACAGTTCAGGTACAACTTCCTCAAGGGGCCAAAACTAATGTTCAGGACAGATTTGGAGCAGCAGCCCTCCAAACACCTTTTATAAGCATCACTGCTTTGTTTGGTGTCTACTGTAAACACATGTGAGCACTTTTACAAGTCGTTCCCCTTCATTCCGTGACGCCTGTGCATCCAAGCATGTTAAATTCAGAGTATCAGCTTTTCTCGGAGGTTCGCCGAAGGGGAACAGTGACATTCCCGCATTTGGTAGCAGTTATCTGAGGGTCCGCACACACACACTCCGGCTATCTGCACAGCCCAAAGTGCTCCACTAAAAAATAAACAAAAACTAGCTTTACTGTGATAATTACAAACCGAGCAGTTGTGAATTTAAGCTGAAAAACAGATGACAAACGAGGCTGACTCCAAGTGACAGACTTGTGAAGTTACTTACCCTCCACGGGGGCAAACTAAACCCCCCAAACCAGCCTCTACCAGCGCCGCTAACGGCCGCGGTGAGCCGCGAGCTATTTACCTTAACGGGCCAGTTGCTGGTTAGCGGGAGAACCGGGAGGTGCAGCAGCAGAAAGGAGCAGACCGGGAGAGCGAAGCCTCCGTTACCGAACATGGTTCATTCATGTCGCGGACCGACAACACTTCCCCTCCCCTCACCTCCGCTCCCCTCCTCAGCCCTCTCTCCTTCTGCCCTCCTTCCTCCTCCTCCCCCTTCGACCCCCTTTTTGATGTAGCGACGCCTTCTGGGCTCGCAGCTCACAGGACAGGACGACCCCCCAAAACACCATGAACACACACAATAGTTTGGCTTTTTTTCGTTATAAAATGTGTTTTTGACGATTAATAGTAGGGTTTTTAAAAATTGTAATAACAAGATAAAAACTAAAAATTCTTAACAACGCTTTTCTTGATGAATACCAGCCTTACTAATTCTTAACTAGCATTACAATCATTTTACTGCTGGGTGGAAATTATAACAAGTGTTTCTGAGATATGTTGATGTCATGTTTAGACAAGATAAAACTAGCATCTGTGTTTTTTTGTGTTTCTATTTTAATAAAAATATACTCTACAATATACTTTCATTTTTTTTACACGAGAGCCTTTTGGAAGTTCATTAAGTAGTTTCAACAACAACAAAAAATGCTTTTTCCATAATATGTGAAAATGTAAGGGCAAGGATGCCTCTCCATGGACATCAACAGTTTTCAGAACA